GTGAGTATGAATGTGTAAAAAAATACTTAAGTTTGGCACACATATTAAAAAAAGTTGAGGTCGAGAAAAGCAGACTCAAGAACTCGAGGTAGAGATTAAAAACCTTTCTTTAATTTACTCAAATAAAATTGATAAAAATGTAAAGAATTCTAGTTTTAATTGAATAATTTAAAAACCATTTAATTTGGAACTATGTAAGAGTGTGCAAGCCTGCTTGTATTTTAGTTCATAAATAGTTTGCGAATACAAAAGCGGTTTTTTATGGTTTTGATTGAGATTGTTTTTTGGCAAAACAGTATCTTCTTCTAAGAGGCACTGACCTACACACACGCACTCAACGTTTTCAATTTAATTGCGCAATTTTCAACAAGAACAACAATAACGAAACAAGTCTGCAAGGTACATAAATATAAGCAATTTGCAGTGCAATTAGATAAACTGCAGGTGGCTGGCAGGGGAATGGGCACAGTTGCGGTCACAAAAATAGCACTCAAGAAGTATCTTTCTAACAACAATAATATGAAAAATCTGGTTGATTGATTCACAATCTTTGTGTATTAGTATTAGTATTTTAATTAGGCCAAAAATCTGTGGAACGTTACAAAAAAGATAATAAATCAGAAAAGCTACATACTAACTGCGACTTATTTATTTGAGCTGCAAGGCTAAAGGAAATTGTTTGATATTTGGCATACCTATAGATATTATAATGTTGTTATTTTGAGCAAAACTATACCTATGTTGAGCTGGACCGGCTTCGCTAATTAGACGCTCAGAACATTCCGGCAATAGGCAATAACAATGCGGACGGGCCACCCCCTATTTCCCACCCTCCCCAATCTTTGATTCTCCACTACGTTTTCCGACGACAGCCAAGGTTAAAAACTATAAATAGATATGGAGAAAAATCAACAACAACAGCAAACAATCAACAACAAAAACAGCGAGTTGCAAAATCTATTTTTAGCTGACAGCAACGAGACGCCGACCGTAAAAAGAGTAAATGAAAACTTGAAATGAAAACAAGACACGAAAAATAAAACAAATACGAGACCAAGTCGAACATTCTATGCTCTTAATTTAGTATCAATTGACCTATTTCAACTAAGATATCTTTTCTTTGACGGAAATATGTTTTTTATTCAAACAATACTAGTTAATTTAAAGAAAATAATTGAAAAAGTTCAAAGTTTTAACATTTTTTCCAACAATTATTTATTATGTCTTTTACAAGTTAGCAATATTAAAACCTTGAAAGCAACGTATTTAAAGTTCTTCTAAATGATGGTGTCGATTAAATAACAACGAATGATAAGTTCTTTGGCAAACATTTTAAAGATAGCTGTGCTAAACATAGAACAAATTTCATTCATATTTTTAGCAGGTATAAAATTACCTATTATCAGCAAATCTTTAAGAGTAGTTTGTTTGGTTAAAGTAATAAGGGAAATGGCTATTTCCATCATGATATCGATTGGGTAGCAAGAAGAGAAAACTGCTGTGTAAATATTAAACTCACATTACACTACTCTATTATTATCTAAATGTAGTGCTCATCATTAAAGTTCTAATACCTTCAATGCAATTGCCATCTACCTGCTATATTTACCATATGTATATCTTACAAATAATAAGGTAAATTAATGAGAAACCGGCAATACCGTGCCCCAAAAAGCTATTTGAAAAGAGCTGACCCGAAACATTCACCAATTCTGTTGCCTCAGCTGGCGATTCTGGGTGCTTGGCCCAGTTTAAAGAAGCTTTGGCAGCGGCAATGGGTCAAATGAGTTTTTTTTATTTGGCTGCCGAGTCGACTGCACTTCTCCTTCCCCTCGGAACGGACCCCAAAGTCAAATGGAACCCCGATACCGAATCCGAATCCGAATCCGAAGTACGTGAGCCAACGCACACACGCACTTCTTAAAAAAAAAGCACTGAAAAACATCAAAAAAGTAGGTACGAGAAATAAAACTTTACTACGTCACTACGAAAAGTTTCCAACTTGTCGTTTTTATCAACAAGTTTCCCCGCAGGCGCCGCACCCGATTCATAGACGATATCGATTCGCTGGATGTAGTATTGGAAATTGCTAGTAATACACTGAGAAAAATTATACCTTAAATTATTATTGTTAGACCATTAATAAACCAAAAAGACCTTAAACTAAAACTTAATATGCAAATGTTAGTTGCATATTAAACAGAAAATCAGTTATTTTTGGAATACCTTGGCTTTAACTAGGATAATTTCAATTCTTAGTTATTTTTGTATTTTATATATTTTAAGAATACTTATTTAAAGCATTCCCTAACTCGTAGAGTTAGAGTAATGGGTATAAAAATGCCACATTTTCTCCTTCGTGTAGTAGGTGCACTAGTTAGGGGCCGCGATAGTTAGTGGGGGGCACAAGGTCTTTGGCCATCTGATAATACGATAGCAAATAGAGAAAAAACAAAGGAGCTTGGTTGGGGAAAAGCTCGTTAACTAATGAGAGTGGTTTGTTGACTCTTGCTGGGTTTAATTTCAGCAGAAAGTGCAAGGTAATTAAAAGTCAGTTACTAGAAGTTTAGTTTAGTTACTTTAAAAATTCAATATGCCCCCTTAATGACACTTTATTATAAATTTGATCTAGACAAAAATGTCAATCCCAGAAATTAGTAGTACATTTTCTTTGAATTGATATCCAATTTTTGGATTGGGATACGTCAACGGCAATTTAATACAACCAACCAAGCACGTCACCATTAAATATTTGCAAAGGCAAAATATTCTAGCGTTTCTATAAATACAAATATCATCCGTGCTCCCATTTTCGAAGCGCACGATTTTATTTTTAGGTGCTCCGAAATTCGCAATTTCTGTATCAATCATTTATTTTCTCGCTGTTCTTTTATTTCGGTCCTTTATTTGTCAAAGCCGATTAATTGCGTAAATGCATAATGAAATTTTATAATTTTTTTCTAAGTATTAATTTGTTGGGGGTAATCATTATTTTATTAAGTTAAAAAAACTAAAAAGCAGAAGTAGGAACAAAAAGGTAATACAACTTAGTTAACATTTTTTTCGATGAAGATTTTTTGAAATGTGGTATTGGGAGTTTTAGCCTATTTATGAGAGAGTGGGGCAAAACCGACCATCTCACATTTCTCGTATCTAATTTTAAACCTTAGGCCATCTTAAACATAAACAGATGAAGCTTTTTAGCCATATTTGAATAAGTTTAAAACTTAATACTAATGTGATTTCTCTGGTTTTCGAAAAATCAAAAACCTGCAAGTTGCCCAAGTTGACGAGGGCTACCTGTGGTCGATCACATGTCCTAGGGATCTGGCAATAATCGATAGTTGGAACCGAGTCGAAAACAAACCATTAACCAATAAGCCATAAACGCCTTCATCCACATCAATCAACTCAGCTGGTTGGTATGACGTATCAGCGAATCGGTTCAGTGGGTGCTAATAGTGTTCTGGGTTCGTGACAAATAACTGCGACGTTGACGAAAACCCCAATAATGATTAGAATCGGGGACCATAAATCGCAGAGCGTTGGTTGCGGCACGAAGGATAGCCCCCACCGATCCCTTTAAGGATCGAAAATTATGAGCTTAATCGGCGTGGAGTACATAATTTATATAGATAATATGCATGGCAAAAAGAGTGGGAAGACTGCATAAGTGGAATGCCAAACTCACCACAGTTCAAAAGCCCCAAAAGAGCCCCAAACGAGTATTCTCTCCCTCTCCGAAAACCGGCTTTCGTTATAAATAATCTCGCTCTCCGTTTATTTATCTTTAGACCAAGTGTCTTGAGTGTCCGAATTTTATAACTATTCGCATCAATATTGTTTTTTGTATTCGAAAAACTTGGCGAAAAAATAGCAGCGTTTTTGATTTTTTTTAATTCTGAGGAAATATGTTAATATTTTGTATTGCTGATTATTAACATAAACTTTTTGCCATTATTTTGCCAACTAAAGCCCATTGTCGATCAAATTACAAACAAAAGTTTGTCTCCAAAATGGGTTTTTTCACAACTTTGCCATATTGATATTGTAAAACTGATCAATGCAAGTTAATTTCCAATTTGTGTGAAAGGAGACACCAATGGTGGCAATGTAAACATGAATTTCATGTTTTTAATCGACTGTAATGTGAATTGGCTATTACAGTGGACAGTGGTTTGGCAGCCATAGGTGCAAATAAAAACTCTTAGGTCAACATTTTGAAACCGAATAGCTCGGAACGTTTCCTTGAATAACAACAATCGTTCGTTAATTAACAAGTTTTTTAATGGGGCTCACACTTTGAACAATAAAAAAATAATAACTAAAAGCACAATTATACTCACAAAATAATTACTTATATTTCTAGAGTAATTTGCTTAGTGATTACTTAGCCTAGCTTTTAGTGTTTAAGCTGTAAACAGGTATGAATTTAAGTATCTCTCTGTTTTTGCGACTACATTTTCAGGTAACGTTTTTTTTGCCCCAAGTTAATTCCTTTGAGCATTTATCTACATTTTAGAAATCTAAATTTTGTATCAACTACTTTTAAAATACAAATTGCAGTTTTTATTCTGGTTCAAAGAAGTATTGACGTTTCTCATCTTTTTCAGTCAGTCATAATCAAAACTATTAACTTAAAATTGTTTTAAATAAAAGGTGATTGGAGATGATTTGACCAATTTTTAATAATCTTTTATATTTATTCCACAAAGTTGCACATTTTACCACTGTGCTGTAGAGAAATTCAACATTGGAGAGATACGAGAGAGAAATTGAGCGGCTTTAACATTAATGTTAAGATACAACTAACAGTGGCAGAGAGGAACAATTGATTTTTTTCGTTTAGTATGGTATGGTGAAAATATTCTCATGAGAGAGTTGGGTACAAACTAGCTCTCCCGCTGTTTTTTTCATCTTGCGTCGGCAGCGCGTCGGCAGAGCTTGGGCAGAGCTTATAAATAAGACGAGTGGCCCGAAAACAATTTTATTCGTAAAAAAGCGAACCGACGAGCGGATAAGGCGAAAAATATCTGAAAAGCAGAAGCGAAAAACACGAAAAGCCAGAAACAGTATCAGAAACAAAAAAAACGCAGCAAACAAACTGAAACTTAAACCGAGAAGGCAACCGAAACAAGAAACCGTAAAAGAAAAGCCAGAAAAAGAAGCGAATCGAAGCAGCGTAAATAAACAGAGCGAATTGGAGCGAACGCCAAAACCGACATAAAAAAAAAAAACAGATAAAACACAAAGACGTTTTTCCGGAAAACGCGCGGAAAAGTGAATTTCAATTTTTTTTGAGTGAAAGTTGGGCGTCTACGCCCACGCGCACGTCTACGCCCACAGCCGCCACGCCTACAATGAACCGTTCAAACAGCTTTGTTAGTTCGCTGAAGTGGTGGCCACTGCAGGGTCACAACAACCAACCGGCGGCGGCGGTTGCGCCACCTGCCGGCGGCTATTCGCAGTCGGCACCCAGTTCGCCCACCTCCAATTGGCCACCGCCACTGCAGCAGCAGCAGAATCCCACCCACCGGCTCCTGCCGCCCAACGCCCACCACAAGGTCGGTAGTGGCGGTGGCATCGTTGGAGCCACCTTCGGCAGCAGCGTGGCCGTCCAGAAGCTGCGCGAATCCAAGTGGTTCAAGCCCGAGGAGCAGCGCATCTTTTGCGCCGTCGTCGAGTGCGGATTCGTGGTCGAGATCCGGAGCAGCGCCGCCGCGGAAGCAGCTGCGGCCAGTGCAGCAGCGGCAGCAGCTGCCGCCGCCTCCGGCGATGGCGATGATGGCGACGTCGACGCCCTGGAGGAGATCGACTGTCCGCTGACCAATCAACCGCTCAACCCACCACCCCAAACCCAATCCCAGTCCCAATCCCACCAGCGGCTGGTCATTCCGCGCAACGGGAGCAGCTTCCTCGAGACGCAGGACGAAAACGAGACGCCAGTGGCATCCTGGTATGGCATCGTCCTCTGCAAGGTGGCCAAAGGTGAGTACCAACCCATCTGTTCACATTTTTCAAATGTATCTTTTCCATAAGTAACATTAAATCGAGAAAAGACAGCAGCTCGATAGAAAATCTCAATCTACAAGTTGGCCAAAGGTGAGTGCAAAAACACACCGAGAAAATAAAAACAGCAGCTCATATATTTTTGATAAAAAATTAACATTTGATATAAAAAAAAAAACAAGTAGAAAACGCACTCAAAAACTAACAAACGCACTTTATCTAACAAATGCGCAGGTCAAATTGATATTTACAGTTTTCATATCTTTTGGATAGAAAAATAATATTAATATTAAGTCTATCGTCATAGAGATGATTTAAAGACTTTATAGATTTTTTTCTGTGCAGCGAGCAGTGTGCAGTGAAATACAGTGAACACCAGCTGTAAGCCACAGAAAAAGTGGGATAACAAGTTGTCATTCGAATAGAAGTGATTTTTGATGTAACACTTATAAAAACGAATTCTGACGAAATCTGCATATGATAGACTTATCTATTACACGCATTGATGAAATATATCTATAGGATTTGATATTATTTGAGTGATTGTGTAATATCATTAATGCGTGCAAATGTTGCAATACAAGCAAATAGCTTTAGTTTAGACTTGTTGATCACATGCATTTTTATAGGCAGCAAGTGTTAGTGGGACTTTATATTTCATTCTGATTTACTTTTGTGGTTTGGGATTCGTTATCTTTAATTATGGTTGACTAATGCCCTTTTAGAATAAATGTTTATCCCCCGAAAGCGTCAGTTGCGATTTGTTTAATTTTTTTAAAATGTTCCCCTTTGTGTGGCAAATAATTTTACCACGATAAGAAGATTTGGGTTATGAACAGATATAGTACAATAAATTTAATTTAGCAAACACAAATATTATTTTTATTTATTGACGCAAATCTAAAGATTTTTATTGATCTAACTCGGGTAATTTTTGAACCAAAGAATAATAAGAAATTCCCAGTCATATGTGCTTGTTTGTTATTGGCCTATTTTAATTTTACCTATTACTTTGTTTAAAATTAGGCTTTGTTTGCTCAGTTGTTGACACTTGGAGTGAGTTTTATATGCCTTGGAAAATGAGGAATCTCCGATGTAGTTTCTTCTCCAAGAGGGTTTAAATTTAGTGCACAACTTTACAGTTGATGATTAATCACAAATTTTCGGACGTCAGAGAATCATTAAGCTAATCTATGGGTTCGGGTTTTTGGGTGAATGTCGGAATTGTAGAATGTCATTCAATAAACAAACATCACACACATGCGCACTAGCTACGGCGTACACACACGTACACCCGCGTTGTTTTATCTAATCGCAAAGAGAATCCAAGAGGAACAACAACAACGAGCTTATCAAATGCGCCATTGGCAGCGCAGTCGACGTCGGCAGAGGGGCCATTCACATTGCTGCGCAGACAGCTGCTAGAACATTTTTAAAATTTTGAACTGCAAGAACCCGAAAGCGAAGTTCAAAACAAAAGGAACGGAATATAAAACTGAAGTGGAAAAAAAAACAAAATAAGAAAAAAGATAAAAAAAATAGTGAACAAATAATTTATTATAATGTTTGCTTAGTCGGGTCTTTACTGTGCGTTTGTTGAGTTGGGGCTTTGGTGCATGGCCAAAAACTCACCACGCGCACACGACTGTTGCATCTCGTGTGCCGGCCAATAACCCACCACACGTGCTGCGACTACCATATATATGTGTATATAGCATACATATGTATATATGGAACACCAAAAGCCACAAAAATATCATTTTGGTTTGTTAAATACACATGAAATATATTATGATAGTTCAATTTCTAATTTTACTTATGATTAAATATCAATATTTGTATCCTTTTAATTTTAATAAGACATATTCAAAAGTTCATTATGTATTATTGAGACACCATTATCTACATATCCATTTATGGAATTCATCATGATTTAACATTATTCACTTATCAAGTTTATGTGAAAATTCTGTTCTTTCTTTTTTTTTTGGAAATTTGTTCTCATAAGTACAAATTAAGGATCTTTATTAAAATTATTAAATATTATTGAGGCAAAGAGTGCTATCTAAAATAATTCCGAATCTACACCTGCGTATGGTTACCTAAGAAATAATGATTTTGATAAAAAAAAAATGACAATGACAGATTGGGCTACTTGATTGATTTCGCCATAAAAGGTCTAAGAATCTGAATATTTCAAAGTGAGTTGCTAGGGGACACACACTTTCGATTTACCTTGACCTCAGTGCCATTATTTTAACCCGATTTGTGTGTAGAAATGTGCAAGCACATATGCAAATATTTGTGATAATGGGAGCTTTTCTGGGCGACAAATAGGGCTCAGTCCAATCAATAAAGCGCTGCATTCTGGCGCTAATCGGTTTCCATGGCACTTGGCCAGCCAGTGATTACTATCCAAAGGCGAATTACTCGCACTTGTCCGATTATACATACTATGTGTATGGTATGTGCATATGTCCCCAAAGAGTGGGGGAAAATGGCTGTGGAAATCGCTGGGCATTGCGCATGCGTGCTTATCAACGATATTTACAATGGCCCCATGACACGTACGACAATCACACACCCACTTCTCGGCCAGTATCAAGTTTGATTGATTATCTTGCATTAGAGAGCGTTACAGAAAAGCAAATATGCATTAAATCCATAAATATATTGAGGGGCTCTTGGGCAAGACAGGTGACACAGCTTTTTCTGCTCCACACAGCGTTCAATGATCCATGGGGAAAAAAGTGTGCACACTTGAGAGTACAGTGATCATTCAAATAATGAAACCATTCATTTCGCATTTAATGCATTTAGAGGAAGATTAAATATTTTAATTAAATAAGTGATAAATGTCTGTTTGTTATCACTTAGATTATAAAACATTTATTTTGAATTACAATAAGTGCATGGATATGTTATTTAAATATAAAATTATAAGTGATATTACTAATTTATGATTTCATATACATATGTACATACTACCTATTAGAAGCTATATTACTAATTGGATCAGCGTGAGCTCATTGGAATTGCATTCACATTTTTTGCTACTCTAAATTTCACGCTTAGAGTCCAGGGGGAAAAAATTGAATGCAATTAGTGAAATAATGGGAATTAGCTTACAAAATGACTGGCACAAGCGATATAGGCAAACAGCAATCAAACAACTCATTCAGTCAGCCACTGCCACCCATCACCCACCACCCACAAAAAGGCTCTAAACAATTTTAAATGCCTGCAAATTGGTTGGACATGGCAACAAATGAACGTCCAAATATATTAGGCCAAAAAAATACCATTAGAGCAGGAAGAAGCAGAGGCGGCTGAGTGTAAAATACCAAGGAGTGCTAATTATTGCATGGCAGTCATTAAATCACAAATGCTATAACGAATTGCGCAAACAACAGTCACTCATGACCATCCTGGTTGCCAGTGCTAGCCATTATGTCACTCGATTCCCGAACGAGGAGTTCCTAGAGGTGCCTAGGCATGACGAGAAAATGAACATAGTACTCGTATTTATACCATGGGTATTCATTATTGGGGACTTGATATACTAAAACTAGTAATAGGATTTATGAAGAGCATCCTATTATTGAAAGGTATATTTTTCCACCTTGTTCTTCACAGTTTATCAGTATTCAATATGGGTCTGTGCAACATCTTTCGATCGATGATCAAAAATCAAAATCAATTGATTTTATTATTAACTGAATTGTTTGTATGCACATACAAATGCATTGCAATGGGGTCCACCTGTTCGTGGGGTTCTGGTAAATTGCCAGGGAAACATTCCGAATTGCCTGAATTGATGTTAATGGAAATGCACGTAGGCTAATTTTGTTTCTCTTGATCTCTGATTTCAGACAATAAGCCCAAGCCCGAGACCATTGAGATATTTTCTGTGAAAATACGTGAGAATGGCACATACAAACTAATCAAGATGCAACTTGCGGATATTTGGAGTCATGGATGGGAGTTGCGCATCAACAACTTCGCCGACAAGGAAAAGGTGCCGCACAACGAAAAGGACATTCGCAATCAGGTGAGAGGAAATCGATAAATAAAGAAGGGTTCAAATGGAAACTCAGAAGTTGGGGGTATTAGTCATAGAATGCATAAAAATAATATGAAAGGAATGCAAGCAATAAAATATAAAAACGTTTTGAATGTTCTTAACACATTTTAGCAGGTTGTTATACCTATTATTATAATGTAAACCACTTTTAAAGAAATTTAAATTAAATTTATTGCCTTGAAATGTATTATAGAACATGTAAAAGCCGAAAGTGTGTAATGTACTTTACAATTTGTATTAACATTTTGTTTTTAATCTTGATCTAGTATAGTTTTGTGAGAAGAACTTCTGAGAGTCGATAAAATTACATTGGAACAAGTCAAATGATTAACCCTTTCCGGATATTCGCAGGTGTCGGTGGCGCGCAAGGCCAAGCAGAGTCTGTGGAACAACAACAAGCACTTCGTGTACTGGTGTCGATATGGAAGTCGTCAGCAGGATCTGCGGAAGCGACAGGTAACGACGAGTGCCAATCACGTGCTGCTGCACCTGATCAATTGATAAGCGGAGCCAGCCGGAAGCCGAAAAGCGAAAGGCCCAGAGCAAAAAGCGAATGAAGCACCGCGACACAGAAACCAAAATTTGCCACTCCCACCTCGCCAACTCCTAATCCTGCTCCTACCAATCCAATCCAATCCAAGCCCAACCCAATCCTCCGCCCACCCACATGCATTGATTGTTGTAGTTGCAGCAGCAGCAAAAAGCTAAAAAAAAAAAAAAAAAAAAAAGCTATGTAAAAACACAAAAACACACACACTGACCAAACCATATACTCAGAACTACGCATGCACGAAAAAAAAGTGGACTAAAAACGTACTGAGGGAACCAGAAAAACAGAACCATTAACTTTTCTAGGGCCCTATATATTTAACCACCATCATCAAACCACTGAATCATGCTTGCTTTGCTCATATCCAATATTCGCCAGAGAAAAAGTGAAGAAAAGAAGATGCTAACCCAGAGTAATTTCCACACAATTTAACCTGTAGAAACTCAAAACGCATCCAACCACACTACCCCACATATAATTCGTTCGAAAAAACGATCATCTTCTACAGTACCGAAAAGCATTACTTTCTGTGTATATATCTATATATATTTATTTCTGTGAGACTGCAAACTGCCCATTTAATGTTGAATGTTAATTAATGTGCAACCGAAAGTCGGGGCCTGTATTTTGGTTTTCGATTTCGTCAAGACTTTGCTTGATTTTCTTTTTCAACCACTTTCAGTTAGATTTTCCGGATTCAAAGCCAAATGCGTTGAGTTTCTGTTTAGCAAGCTCAATGTCTGGCAAATTGTACTGGAGAATCTTGCGGAATGCGAATGAAAAGCGAAATTATTGGCGAAAATGAAGATCGGAAACGGGCCCGGGCTGCATTGGGCACACATCTCTTCTAATTCTAATTCCGGCACTTATTCCGGCTATCTCATTCCGGCAAAACCGCCTTCATCGCAACCTGAGACGTACGTATTCCTGTTTGTACCCTGTGTCTTAAAAGTGAATCTATATTGCAGATGTCGGAGTGCGTGAAATGGGGCAGCGTGGGCATGAATGCGGGCATGCTGCTGGTGCTCAATAATCGGCAGAAATGCTATTCCCACTCAAAGTAACTAGAGAACCAAATCCTTTGATTTTCCAAATTCTATTCAAGAAAAGAAATAGGGGAATACCTTGCCTACTGCTACTGCTGCTGGCGTTCCACCGATTTTACACAGCAAACAAGTATTAAAGTAAATTCGGATGATAAGATAATTTATGGCTTAAGAACGCCAAGGGCAGTGGAAAAAAACCAAATGCAAATATACGTATTAAGTGCAAAGAGAGCCAAGAAAATTTAGATCAGGGCGAGGGCTTTTTGGCAGTATTAAAAAATCAATTAAATGAAATCAAATTAAATGGAATGGTATGGAATGAGGCGAGGCGAGGCCAGAGCAAAGCAAGAAACATGGCCTACCAAATCACTCTACACTACACTACACTCCCGCCCATGATTGTATAGCTGTTGCAACTCGAGCTACAATTTATCAAATACTTTTGTATTTACAATTGTGTATATGACACAGAACGAGAGAGAGAGACACACACACACTGTGAAATTCGAAAAGACTTATTAAATATTTGTTTGTTTTTTTTTTGTCCTAATTTTTTTGTTTTCATGTGATTAAAATACGTATACATTATTATATTTATACATTGTGAATGGCAAGCATATGCAAGGCAACAATTTTTGTTTTCTTTGTTATTTAAGCGTATTTAAGAGAAACCCACAAATGGGCAAACAAATTTAGCGAAAACTCTACGTTGCAAGCATAATAATTTAGCATTGTAAAAACAATCAAAACATTCGAAATGTTTCGTTATGTATTTAGCTCTACATGACCGACAAACGAGGACGACGACGGCGACTCAGAACCGAAACCACACTGAAAGAAAAACAGTAACAGAAACAGAGTATCCAAGCAAAAATGGCAGCTATATAGTTGCCGATAAATATTTTTGTACATAGGGAAACTGGACGCACTATGGACTCTCCACATACGTAATCAAAAAGAGGATGCAACCCACAAAAAATTTACAAAACCTAAAAAAAATGAACGCTAGTTCGTAAGCTATACATATACATTATATACATTATTACTTATTTTGTTTAAGTTTTGTCTTTTTTAAGCAATTTATAAAATATTTATAGTAGTCTTATATACATTTCGACAATGTGAGGAAATTTGAATATGAAACGTTTGTAAAATGCTTTATATTGATATTATTATTAAATGTTTACCAACGGATACAACAAAATGCAACAAGTTTAAATGGGAAATTGGGATTTTCTACCTTGTAAAGGAAACAGGTCAATAACAGGTAAATATTCGTCTTAAGTTTCAGGATACTATCAAGTTGGGTCTTTGTCTTTTGTAGTGTTTGAATTATACTTTAACGAGCTATTAAATTGATCGCTTCAAAATCATTAAATAATACTTCTGTACACACCTTGACATTGCTTACGATAGAATACCTCTTATAATCAATTAGATAAAAGTATCACCTTCAAAATCAATTGAATTATTTCATTTTGACCGACCCATTTTTAGTTTTATCAATCCTACATACCTTTCTACTCAAGAAGATAAGGCAGACAGTGTCAAATTAAGCCAAAAATAATAAAGTCAAGCAGTGATTTCCAAAAAGATAAAAATACAGACAAATATTTGACTTTTGCATACAAAATGAAAAAATATTTTTGAGAAAAAACTTGAATCTTTCTTGCTTATTAAAAGATATATTGCCATCAAAATGGTTTCATTGCCCGGTTTGTGTTGTCTATTGAACGGAAAATATAACACATTGAGCTAATATTTAAGGTACAGCAAAGTAAATACAATAAAAGCTAGCACGTAGAAGTGAAGGGTACGGCATTATACAATTGATCAGAAGTCTGTAATACACTGGAAACAATTTAACGGTCCAGGAAATTAGCATATATATTTAAGTGCCTTAGATACATTTGAAGGAAAAGATTGAAATTGTTAAAATTTGGGGAAGGTTAAGAAAAAACGATGGGTTTTTAAATTGAGAAAATATATGTACGGAAATTATCTGACGTACAATAAATTGGGTGCATGCAATCAGCCAAGAAGATTTCGGGAAAATATGTCAGTTTAATCAGACTATTTAACAACCCTTGGTTAAATATTTTATTTTAGAAGTCCCAAGTTAAACAAGTAAATTGTTTTTGCAACGTAAAAGTGATTCATTTGAATTGATAAGCAAACGCTACCAATCTTTGGGTTAAACGGATAATTGGGAAGTGGAAACGCCGGAGGGAAGGATTAAATAGAATGGTCAGAAACTCACCTCCCGCAGCAGTCCGAAGAGCACGTCCGTGGAGAGCGACCGCTCGTGGGCCTCGTCCATGATGATGGCCGCGTAGCTGTCCAGTTCCGGGTCGCGCAGACTCTCGCGCAGCAGGATACCGTCCGTCATGTACTTGATGACCGTGCGCTCCGAGGTGCAGTCCTCGAATCGGATGGCGTAGCCCACGTCCTCGCCTGGAAAACGAAGGAGTCTGAATTAGTTGATCAATGGTTTAGCCAATAGTCATAGATATCATGTAGTAAAACAAACTTAGGCACAAAAAAACTTATGACAAATGCTTGACTGACATTTCTTTTGGTTAAATTTAAAAGAAAATTAACCGAACACTTGGACAATCAAAAATACTAAACGATTAAGATACAATCCTAATGGGAATTGCCTACCCAGCTGGGTGTCCATCTCGTCGGAGACGCGCTTGGCCACCGACATGGCGGCCACTCGACGCGGCTGGGTGCACCCAATCATGCCCCGCTGGCTGTACCCATCCTCGTGCAGATACTGGGTGAGCTGCGTGGTCTTTCCGCTGCCCGTCTCGCCCACGATGATGATCACCGAGTTCTCCCGGATCACGTTGAGCAGCTCCTGGCGCGAGGCGAACACGGGCAGGAAGCGGCGCTGCTCCGAAATGGTCTTCTTGCGCGAGAAGTCGCTCGTGCCGCCCGTTTCCTGGTCGCGCATGTGGTCCGCGAACTTCTGGTCCTTGCGGTAGTCGGCAGTGTCGTTGTCCTTGTCGAAGCGGGCATCCTCCTCGTCCTGCGGCCGCTGCACACCCATGATGTTGCCCAGCTTGGTGCCGCCCAGTTCCCAATGCTTCTTCTGCGCCTTGCGGCGCTCCTTCTGCTCCCGATATGTGCGCACCAGGGCGCTGCCCTTCCGCGCCAGCAGCGCCATATCCGAGGTGGGATCCTTCACGGGCACCACCGGCTCCGGCTGCTTGGTGAACACGATCCGGCCGTCGAGGAAAGGTGGTATAATGTGGTGCACCAGCAGATGAACCCGCTCCAGCGCCTCCTCGTCGAAGTCGTCGTTCACGCTGATCGAAGTGACCACGCCGGAGGTGAGCATGCGGTTCCGCTCCCACAGCTCGTTGTCCCGATTGTTCTGCCGCTGCTGGGCGCTGATCCGCTTTGTTCGCTTCTGCTCCAGCTGCTCCTCGCGCTTGCGGAAGTACTCGGAGTTGGTGCCGGCAAAAGGATTGTTCTCGTCGTCGTAGCCCTCGTCGATGTTGTACCACTCGCGGTCCAGGCGCCGCTGCTCCTCCTCCCAGAGGTCCTGCGACTCCGGATCCTCGCCCCAGGGCGTGGCACCACTGCGCTTGCGGTCGTGGGCCCACTGATTGTACCGATGTGCTGGAGTGGGACGGGCCGTGTCGTCCTGCCGGCTCTGATGTCGCCGACTGCCGCCGCTCCTCACCGACCAATCGCCGGAGTGGCTTCCGTGGCGTCTCGGCGTGGGCATGTCCCAGTCCGACTTACGCTGGCTGCCGTCGCCGTCCTCGTCGTCCCAGGAGCTGTTGGACACGCCGCTGCTGCTGCTGCCGCCTGGTGTGCCCGGCTCTCGCGGCGTGTGGACACTGCGCTCGGACACGGACCGATCTCGATCCCGGTCGCGGCTGCGGTGCCGGTCGCGCTCCCTGCCCCTGTCCCTTTGGCGGCGCCTGTCGCGGTCACGGTCTCGCTCTCTGTCGCGATCCCTGCGTCTATCACGGTCTCGATCGCGATCCCTGTCCCTGCCCTCCCCTGAGGAGGAGGAGCTGGCCAGCCGGCCGCGCTCCTTGTCCCGCTGGATGTGCTCGCGAAGGCGCTCGCGGGCCTTCTCGGAAACGCCGCCCGTGTGCGAGGGCGTCTCGTCCTTGTGCTCGCGCAGCTGGCCACGCAGCTTCTCGAAGCTCTTGGTGTCCGGTTTCTTGAAGGCGAACTCGCTGGAGGCTCCTGCGGACGCCTGGGGCGTGGAGCTGCCGCCGCCGGCGCCGGTGTCGTCGTACTCGCTGTCCTGGAAGGAGATCAGCCGCTCCGACCGTTCCTTCTCGGCGCGCCGCTTGGCCGCCAGTTTGTCCAGGCCCAGTAGCGAGCCTTGCGGCACCTTGAATCCACCGCCCTTAGCTTGGTTGGCGTCCTTGGGCTTGCGGATTACCAGGCCGCCACGCTCCTCCTGGCCGGCGGTGCCCTCCAGCCGGTGGACACCCGCCTCGTCGTCGTCGGACATCCTGTTCTGCTGTGCTGGCCAAGTGGGTTAGTCTGATCCTGGGTATTTTCGCAAATCCTCCTCGTTGCCGCAAAAACGAATCATTCGCGTTGGCGTTGCTACTCACAGCTGATCGCCGGTGCTGCCACACTGTTTGAAATTGGAAAGCGACAGTACTGACACTCTGGCTATTTTAAAGCTAAAATTAGGCGTTTTAATAATTCCATAAATGAGTTAAGTTCCACATGCAAAAGAAAGGAACAAATTGATATATAGTTACATTTCATATATACATTCTATTACCATATACACTTATGGCGTGCATACACGTTTCATTTAATATTATATAGTTTTGTAGCTGAGAGCTGTTTTATCAACCCCCTTTCGGTAGACATAAAGTTAAAGTTATTTGTAACATTTTACAAAATTCATAAGTAATCTGCTGGGCAGAACTTCCAAAAGTCTGATATGGTTAAATGTGAAAATCTGTTGCGATGGACTCTGCTTAATGTTTAAAGGATGATTTTCTGTTTAAAATGCGGCGACTAGTTTTAAGAAAGAGCATGCCGGACTGCTAAATAATGGAGTGTATAAATTGAAAACTACTGGCAACTCCAGGAGTTGGCGCCCTTGGAAAGCTTCAAAAAATAAAAAAGAACGTTACTGAATTCAGTGAACATTTATTTGCATTAAATACATTATACATTCTGTATAGTCCTAGTCCTGGTTGTAAGCCGCCTGTTCCGGCACCGTCTGTGCGATCCAATCGAGATACGGTGGATTGCCATTCTGGATGGGCAGCGAAATGACTTCCGCGACGCTGTACGGATGATTCTCGCGGACGAACTTGCTCAGCTCATCGATGCGACTGGTGCGCGTCTTGACCATCAGCAGGCACTCGCTGTCCTCGTTGACCTTGCCCTCCCACAGGTAGATGGACTCGATCTGGGGCACGATGTTGACGCAGGCCGCCAGCTTCCGCTCGATGATGCTGCGCGCCAGTTTCCTAGCCGTTTCCCGATCCGGTGTGGTCACAAAGGCCACCGAACTGCTGCCCGCTTGGTAGGATTCCCCTTCTGCTGGTGATTCACCCGCTTTGTCGCTCATCTTGGAAATGCAACTGGAACTGGACGGCGGGACACTGGAAGAGAAGCACCTTTCCCGACTGAAGGCGGTGCATGAACTGGTCGTGGCAATCGTCGGTCGAATTGTGACGGCGGCGATGCTGGAAACGATCAACAGGTCGCGCGCAAGCAGCCAGCGAAAGGGCAAGAACCTTGCACAGATCCGATATTGCATTAACATGCACTTTGCACGGCACAGTAATAATAATCCCAAGTTCGGTGCAAATGGCAGATAGCAATAACAAAACAATAACCGGCTACAGCGTTGCCAGATTGCTCCACATTGCTTGCCGCCTGAGAGGTGCTCACAGTTTAGCCATTTTCAAGCCAAATCAGACAAATTAAGGCCCCAAACACGAGCCAACTTCTCATCTGAAGTTTAGGGAGCGTTACAGATTAATGGTTACGTTAAATTCAGATTTTAAAAGCAAAAGTGATTTAACAGATATCATACAAGACATTCACATATGTTCGCTACGTTTGAAATTCTCATAAAAAAGTAAATATGTTTTAATTTTTCTATGACGGATAACACGGTTTCTTATTCCTCGTAAACAGTGTAGGCAATTGTTTTCCAAAAATAATTCGATTTAAAAAGGATCAGGTAAAAAAAGTAACCATTTTCAGTAACCATTTCCAGTCTAGTGATAGGTGTCTTAGCTTATTGGTGTCTTTCGCCTAATGGCCTCTGGTCACATAATTTTAACGGCGCTTTTCCAGTGCCCGCCAATTGACCTGATCCCATCCGCGGGAACTCCATACTCGTTCAATTCGCTTTCAGCTTTTCAAGCTGCAAGCCGTACTTTTACTTGTTGCTGTTCCCGTTTCAAATCACATTTTTCCGTCTGAATTGTTAATTGTCGATAAAATTGTGTGTTTTGTGTTGAATGTTCCTGGCCGAGCACCAGCTGCCCCCCAGTGAGACACGGATCCGGTCAGAGAGCCAGAAGATGACCGCCGGCCGGCGAGGCCTCAACCTAACCTCGCAGACACGCGCTCGCCCTTCAAGTGGAGCCCATGATCCAGGAATTGGCAACCACCGAAACCGGATGGATCCAAACGATGGACTCGCATCTCTTCGAACTGTGGCGCGCCACGTGGCTATCGCGCTGCTCCTGCTCGTAATCCTAAACGGTGTGACTGCGGCCCTCCCTCCGAAGTGCAAAGTGGGAAATGGAGAGTTCCAGTGCAAGGACGGCGGCTGCATCTTACAAGCGAAGATGTGCGACGGACACGGCGACTGCAAGGACGGCTCGGATGAATTGGACTGCGGTGAGCGAGGGCAAAATGTTAATAAACAAGACAAGGGATGCGTAAGGTCAGAGAGCCCCCATATGAATATTCCTTTTATGCCGTGGGACAGTGGACAGTGGAGGTTATCCTTTAATGTGAGGCGATGCTAATCCCTGCGAGGTTCAGGCATCATATCGAAAAGGAAATTGACAAGAACTCTACATATAGTAGTTTTTCACTAACAAATATATTACATTTTAATACTGTAACGGAATCCATTTGAATGAGCATGGTTAAGCGATCCCCACCAGAATTCGGCTCTAAAACGGAAAGAAATCCGACATATATATATACTCTAACAATATTGTACTTTTCCTGCATGTAATAAACTAACAAGTTCAATTGAACCAAATCTTTTTTTTTATAAAATTGAAATACGGAGGGTGTGGGCCAATCCCGGAGTGATTTTGCGATTAAAAATGAGAAAGAAACTCAAGTTTTAAATTCTTTCCATATTTTGAATTTCCATATCTAAAAAAAAGTTAACCAATGAAGGGACCATACCATAATCACAACCTCTACTATTTTGAAACCATTTAATTATTAATATTTAATACCCAACACACGCAATCAAATTAAAATAGGCTTTGCAAGGGGGATTTCATCCTAGATTTAAGTCGATTTTGATGCATTTATAACTGCGGTAAACCGAACCCAACCTTATAAATCTCCAATCCCGATATCCAGACTACCGAATGTGCCGAGCGCCACATTGGTTCCCGTGTGCCCAGCCACACGGAGCCTGCCTGGCAGCGGAACTAATGTGCAACGGCATCTCCAACTGCCCCGGCGGCGAGGACGAGCTGAACTGCCCGGTCCGCTCCGGGTTCCGATTTGGGGACACCCACCGCAAGCGCAACTGCAGCGATTACGAGTTTATGTGCCAGCAGGATCGCACCTGCATCCCGGCCGAGTTCATGTGCGACGGACGGCCGGAGTGTGCGGACAAGTCGGACGAGGTGGCCGGGTGCACGCAAGCGGCGGCCAACTGCTCCTCCTCTGAGGGCTACCTCTGCGCCAACGGACGTTGCCTGCGCCGGACACAGTGGCTCTGCGATGGCGTCGACGACTGCGGCGATGGAAGCGACGAAAGAGGATGCGGTGAGTCACAGTTCCCAAATTGAATTTATTTTCCCAAGTCGTCCTAATTGAGTTGTGGTTCGATTCTCTAAAAATCTGTATACAATTTTTTTAATTTAACGTTGATCAAATTTTTGACCCATTTTCATGTTAATTTCTAAGTTTCCGATGATGTGTCAAATAGTGACCCTCAATTGGAGTTCTGAACTCCATAACTTCCCTAAATTTAATCCGATTCCAAAGTGGCATACCTCTAAAGACTTGTGGTTGGATCCTCTAAAAATCTGCATTCAAAATTTTCATTTTAACGTTGATCAAATTTTTGACCCATTTTCATGTTAGTTATTTCTAAGTTTCCGATGATGTGTCAAATAGTGACCCTCAATTGGACTTCTGAACTCCAAACTTCCCCAAATTTAATCCGATTTTAAATTGGCATACCTCTAAAGACTTGTCGTTCGACACTTTAAAAATCTGCATCCAAATTTTTTATATTAACGTTGATCTAATTTTTAACCCATTTTCATGTAAGTTATTTCTAAGTTTCCTATGATGTGTCAAATGGAGACCCTATAAATTCAGGAAATTTAATCCGATTTTAAAGTGCAATACCTCTTAAGACTTTGGTTTGATTCTCTAAAAATCTCTGTGCAAGTTTTTTTTTAACGTTAATGAATTTGTTGGCCCAATTTCATGTTAGTTATAATTATAATAACGCAGTGAACGGCACATTTTCGACCCTATAAATTGTCTGTCGATCTAGCCATGTTCGTCTGCCCGTCAAATGTTTTAAATTTAAAGCTACAATTAATATTTAAAGGGAACATAAAACTTTAATTAAATTAATGAAAATTATTCCTATAAAGCCCGGAAAAATGTGATTAAACCACCTATCAAACTATTCTTCCGTTTAGCTAACCTGTGCCAACCCCAGATGGGCAAATTCCTGTGCCGTGACCGCGAATCCTGCCTGCCCCTGAGCCAAGTGTGCGATGGCCACAGCGACTGTTCCGACGGCAGCGATGAGTCGGAAAGCTGCCACTCCAAGCCGGACTGCGAGGCCAAGAAGTGTGCGCCTGGGGCCGAGTGCCACATGATGCCGGCCGGAGGAGCCGAGTGCCACTGTCCGGCGGGATTCCGGCGGGCCAAGTTTGAGGACAGGTGCGTGGACATTGACGAGTGCCAGGAGCGAGATGATCTGTGTAGCCAGGGATGCGAAAACACGTCGGGAGGATATCGATGCCTCTGCGATGAGGGCTATCTGCTGGCCAACGATAATCGCACCTGTCGCGCCATCATTCACGACTCCGCGGATCAGCAGCCCCTCCTACTGTACACCACCCAGATGACCGTGATGGGAATGCACCTGCACGAGGACAACGTACGCAACCATGTCTATCAGGTGGCCGGAAATCTGAGCAAGGTGATTGGCGTGGCCTACGACGGCAGCCATATCTACTGGACCAACATCCAGAACGAGGGGGAAAGCATTGTGAAGGCCAGCGGCGATGGTTCGCATGCGGAGATCCTACTGACCTCCGGCCTGGACGCCCCGGAAGACCTGGCCGTGGACTGGCTTACTCAGAACATCTACTTTTCGGACAACATAATGCGGCACATAGCCGTCTGCTCGAACGATGGCCTCAACTGTGTCGTGCTGGTCACCCAGGATGTTCATCAGCCGCGATCCTTGGCGCTGTGGCCACAGCGGGGTTTGATGTTCTGGACGGATTGGGGTGCTAAGCCCATGATAGCCCGTGCCTCCATGGATGGCACTCGATCCCGACCGATTGTTAGCGACAATATCCATTGGCCCAATGGCATTGCGTTGGATATGCACCAGCAAAGGATCTACTGGGTGGATGCCAAGCTAGGGAGTGTCCAAACGGTGCGTCCCGACGGCACAGGACGACGTACGGTGCTGGACGGGATGCTGAAGCATCCGTATGGCCTGGCCATATTCGAGGATCAGCTGTATTGGTCGGACTGGGCCACGAAGAGCGTGCACGCGTGCCACAAGTTCTCCGGCAAGGGTCACCGTATCCTGGCGAAGGACCGCACCATCTATGCCGTCCACATCTACCATCCGGCCAAGCAGCCGGATTCCATTCATGGCTGTGCAAAGGCCAGGTGCTCGCACATGTGCCTCCTCGCCGAACCGGAAGTAGGTGGCCACAGTTGCGCCTGTCCGGATGGGATGCGACTGGCGCCGGATCAGCAGCGCTGCACCCTGACGGAGAAGCGCCAGCGGCTGTTTGTGGGCCTGGGACAGGTGCTGCTGGAGATCGAGCACACCGCCTTCGGGCGCCATGTGGTGAGCAAGTCGCACACGCTGCCCTGCGCCATCAACGAAATGGTCTACAACCGGATCAACGGCAGCCTCATCATAGCCGACAATGACCAGCGATTGATCCTGGAGTTTCAGCCAGAGCAGCAGGAGACCAGCGTCCTGGTGCGCTCCAATCTGGGCAACGTGAGTGCCCTGGCCTTGGACCATCTCAGCCTAAATCTGTACTGGGCGGACGTGGAGCGCGGTGTCATCGAGCTGCTCTCCCTGCAGACGGGCCATCGCGCCCTCATTCGCTTCTTCCCGGGCCAGGAGGTGCCCATCGGACTCAGTGTCATGCCCGCGGAGGGCTATCTGTATGTGGTGCTCAAGGCCAGGCGGCACAGCCACATCGACAGGATACCGCTGAGCGGAAGGGGCGAGCAGGTGCACGTCTTCGAGGACGATCTGGGCGATGATGACATCAAGTTGACAGCCGACCACGATACCCACACGCTCTTCTGGTCGGACAGCGACCTGGGCAGGATTAGCTACTCGGACTACCGACAGCCGCACGGCCAAACCTTCCGAGGCAAGCTGAGGCGACCGTACAGTTTGGCCCTGGTGCAGCAGGATCTGTTCTGGAGCGAGTTGGGCTCCCCGGGCGTTTACTGGACGCACAAGAGCAACATGGGTCCGCGGAAGAGGATCGACATCGAGGCTAAGGGTGATCCCGGTGCCATCCTGCCTTTCGTGCCCATTGCCGCGCCCGCCCGAATTCCGCTGGCCGCCAGTGCGCCGGTCAGCCGGGAAACGCATCCCTGCCAGCACCTGAACGGCGGCTGCTCGCACATCTGCGTCGGTGAGGGTCCCTTCCACGCCGTCTGCTTGTGTCCGCCCGGATTCGTCTACCGGGACGCGGGCAATCGCACCTGCCTGGAGGCCCTGGACTGCGAGTTCCGGTGCCGCAGCGGCGAGTGCCTCACAATGGCCCATCGCTGCAACGGGCGACGTGACTGCGTGGACGACTCGGACGAGATGGACTGCGACGAGGAGCACCGACGCAAGCCGAAGGTCCTCTGCTCGCCCAGGCAGTTCCCCTGCCACAGCGGGGATCAGTGCGTGGACAAGCAGCAACGCTGCGATGAGCACAAGGACTGCCACGACAACTCGGATGAGCAGCACTGCGAAAAGTTTGGTAAGCGAATCCCGAAACACCTGAGTGATTGTGTCCACGCCGATCACTCCAAGCGGGAGTGGAACGTACACTTGGTATTTGTTTGCCGGAAAAAATTATACGGTAAAAGCACATTTTAAATTAAAATTCATTATCAGAAATTGCTATACAACACATGTATGAGCTTACCCAAAGTTTAGCTTCCAAATTGCATGTTATATAATTGTACGATTGATCTCATCATGACTGAAATTTGATGATAAATATTTAGTTAGACGAGAGAAAAAGGTAGGAAAATAATAATCAAATTACATTAGTTTTGAATGTTTGAAGAGTTTGACCTTTTAAATTAGGTATTAAAATAAACTCTCTTGCAATTATTTTATTCTTAAAGCAGCAATCCTTAACCTACTTAACTTAAAATTAGATTTGATAGCTATATTTCTATACTTACCGTTTATTTCCTTATTACAAGGAACTCCTTTATTGAACGGGAATGTTTGTACCCTACCAAGAAAATATAAAAAAGTTAGATTTCCTTTAAAAATTATGAGGATTTTATTACTGTAAATCTGGTACAGGGGTACTTGCTGATATCACAGGCCAACCAATACCTCTTCTAAACCACTCCCCTTTAATTTCATCCACCCAGACAAGACGAAGAAGTGCCATGTCCACCAGCACGCGTGCGACAACGGCAAGTGCGTGGACTCGAGCCTGGTGTGCGATGGAACCAACGACTGCGGCGACAACTCCGACGAGGCCATGTGCGAGGCGCCCTCGGGATGTGAGCCGGGGATGTTCCAGTGCAGCAGCGGGTCCTGCATCGCGGGCAGCTGGGAGTGCGACGGACGGATCGACTGCAGCGACGGGTCGGACGAGCACGACAAGTGCGGCCACCGCAGCTGTCCGCCGGACATGCACCGCTGCCTACTAGGCCAGTGTTTGGACCGGAGTCTGGTGTGCGATGGCCACAACGACTGCGGCGACAGATCGGACGAGCTGAACTGCGGACCGGGATCCACGGCGTCCAATATAACCTGCGCCGATGAGCAGTTCCAGTGCTCGAGCAATCAGAAGCTCTGCCTGCCATCTGTCGCAAGGTGCAACGGCACGGCCGAGTGTCCCCGTGGCGAGGATGAGGCCGACTGCGGCGAGATGTGCAGCATCTCCGAGTTCAAGTGCCGCTCCGGACAGCAGTGCATCCGGCGGGAGTTCCGCTGCGACGGGGAGAAGGACTGCGGCGACGGCAGCGACGAGCTGAGTTGCGAGCAGGAGAAGGCCAATCACAATCGCAACCAGAGCCAGATTCAGCCCTGGAGCACTTCGGGACGGGCCTGCCGGCCAGATCTCTACGACTGCCACGACGGCGAGTGTGTGGACATGTCGCGGGTGTGCAACAGTTTCCCGGACTGTGCCAACGGCCGTGACGAGGGTCCGCAGTGCGCCACTGCCTGTCGATCCGCGTCTGGTCGCAAGATGTGCCAGCACAAGTGCCGGGCCACGCCAGCCGGCGCCGTGTGCTCCTGCTTCGAGGGCTATCGCCTGGACGCAGATCAGTCGAGCTGTATGGACATTGACGAGTGCCAGGAGCAGCAGCCATGCGCCCAGCTGTGCGAGAACACGCTGGGTGGCTATCAGTGCCAGTGCCATCCGGACTTCATGCTCCGCCAGGATCGTATCAGTTGCAAGAGCCTTCGATCCGGCGCCACGCTGCTCTTCACCAGCTTTAACGAAGTGCGGAACATGAGCGAGCAGCCGGTAATGTTGTCGGTTGCCTGGTCAGCGAATGACTCACGGATCGCCGGCTTCGATGTGGACATGCAGCGGCAGATGAGTTACTTCTCCTCCGACGAAGAGGATGTGCTCTATCAGTTCGATATGCGCAAGAAGTTGGTCGTGCGCGCCTTGGGTCTGCCAGCACCCACGAAAGTCTCCCTGGACTGGGTCACCGGCAATGTGTATGTGCTGAGTGGAGCGCAGGAGATCCATGCCTGCAGCTTCGAGGCGCGCATTTGCGGCAGGATAATGCAAGTGAAGAGTCCCAAGCATCTGAAACACCTTTCTGTGGATGGCTACCATTCCAAGATCTTCTACATAGCGATACGCACGGAGGGCTTTGGCCAGACCAGCTCGGAGATTCACATGGCCAGGCTGGATGGCAGTCGCCGGGATATGCTCCTGCAGAGGAGCGAGAGCTATATGACAGTTCTGACCACCGATCCCCACCAGCAGCTGCTGTACTTCGTGGACCTGCACAAACGCACCCTAGAGCGGATCAGCTATAGGTTTAAGTCGCTGGGACCACAACGCAGACCGGAGATAATGCTGCAGAAGTCCAATGCCCTGATGCATCCCTCTGGCTTGAGTATGTTCGAGAATAATGCCTTCATCGTGAATCTGGGCTCCATTGAAGCGGTGCAGTGTGCGATGTACGGATCCCGGGCCTGCAAGAAAATCAATCTGAATGTGCTGAACGCGCAGGACATTGTGGTGGCCGGCAGATCCCGTCAGCCGCTGAAGGACTCGTACCCCTGCCTGCATGCCCACTGCCATGGGCTGTGCCTGCAGGGGGACTACGGATACGAGTGCATGTGCGGCAGCATGGTAGTGGCCGAGGGCGAACGGTGTCCCCATGGCTCCGGCAGCGAGGTGACCGTGGGCACCCAGGGCAACAGCCTAGAGCTGCAGCAGCAGCTCCAGACGGGCAGCCACTGGCTGATGGCGCTCCTCGTACTGGCCGTTGGATCACTGGTCGCCGGATTGGGGTACATGTACTATCAGTACCGGCAGCGCGGCCACACGGATCTCAACATTAACATGCATTTCCAGAATCCGCTGGCGACGCTCGGCGGCACCAAAGAGTTCCTGGAGCACGAGCGTTCCGAGGCCGGAGTTGGGTTCGCCCCGGGATCGGGTACGGGCTCCAGCCGGGGCAGCAACGACACGTTCACCACCACCAGCGCCTCGTCCTCGTTCGTGCCGACTGCACTACAGCGATTCCTGCGACCAGGAAGGCAGTCGTCCAGCGATCCGATGGCTCAGGAATTACTTCTCGAGAGCCCCAGAGTGAGTAGTAGTGGTAGTAGAGATCACCAATGATTACCAATGATAACCTTACCTCCGCCCAACAGGAAAACAGCCTACACTCGCTGGACGGAGGACGGCAAGGAGGCGGAGGCAGTCGGCAGGTCCCGGACATACTGGTGGCAGATATTGACGACGATGCCGCCAATTCAGCTGGACAATTCGGCGGAAGTCACGCCAGCAATAATGCGAATGCACGAATTGTGCCGTAAATGAGGGACAACCCCATCCGGATCAGTTATTTGTCAGTTATAGTTGTTAAGTGTTAGTCGGTCTTGTTATCACTCAATGTATTTATTATAGCGTTGTAATTAATATCGTATTTATATGTTAATCGGTGATTGGTACTGCTTTTTATGCTGATATATTTTTCAAACATGGCTAAATAATAAGAAGTTAAACAAACTAAAATTAAAGTGTTCTAATTATTATCTTATATATTTTATTCCTCAAAAATTGGCATATACTAAGAAAGTAAACAAAGAAAAATTCTTTTAAGCCTGAAACAGGAGGATGTGTATTTGATTGCTTGAAAAATATGACAATAAATTATCAATGTTATTTGGTCATATAAAAAAGTCTATGAGACTGATCATATTTTACTTGTTGTTCTATTTTGGTTTTAGAAAAATGTTTTTTTAACCTCTTGAGAATTATTTTAGAAATTAACGAAGAGGTTGAAAATTATAAGAAAAAGCCCAGTTAAGTTTGACCAATTTTTCTGAGTGTAATCCAAATATTTAACCCGAGTGGCAACGCTCAACTGTCCGCGCACTACATATTTAAATTTGAAAGAGCCGACCATCAAATATCAAATCACTACACACTGGAGTATCGCAAAAGGATTGCACCAAATACAGAGTGATTAATTAGCTGGCCATGATGTCAGCGGTGTCTAGAAATCGCGAACCTCGGGCCAAAATTACTGCAGTGGGAAACCGCGGGATCCCAGACAGAAACAGAAACAGAAACATCTGCCCGTTCGGATGACGATCGCAATGACGGTGACCCATTGCAACAATTAATAACGGTTATGCCGCGAGATTTATGAGCGACGACATATAAACAAGACCAAAGCGCTTTAGCCGTCGACCGCGAAATGTCATAAAAAATGTAGAGACAAACCCGAACTTGGCTGAGCTTAGAAACCGAAACCAGAAGAGCACTCACAAATTGTATAATTAAGGAAAAGAGCGAGTGCGACTTCACACGCCGTAGGGGGCGTGCCGCACTCGTAAAAACAAAACTAACGCAAGCCAAACCCAAACCTGGGAATACACTGGAAGAAAACGATGGAGGGGAAGTGGTGTTTCATAAAAGAAGCGATCTGTACAATAAAAACACAGACTTAGACCCAAAAGTCACGATGCATGCATTTTAAAGCGTAAAGCTGCGTTGTTTTGATGACGAAAAATTACGTATACGTATCAATATTAAGTGAAGATCTCGTCTGATTTTTTTAAGTATGTGTATCGCTTTTTCCGTTTGAGGAGTCGAACTACGCTATGTTTAATTTCATTATTTAATAAGCTTTACTATTTTTCATTTTTTATATTAATTTCCCAGTAATGACTTAGATTAAACAACCTACAAAACCAAGTTTCTCTGAACCAAAACTATGAGTATAAACATTTTAAAGGCGAAATAAATGAAGCACAGACATGTATTAAATATTTCATTTTTATAATTTTAAAAACAATTTTATAACTATTAAAATAAAAAACTTAAAATTGCATTATGTTGTTATGATTATATATATGAATAAAGTAGATTATAAAGTTTATTTACTTTACATACGCTTCAGACAAACTTGTATGCTTAGGCTGCTACTTTGGTCGGACTTAAATAATGTTTAGATGTAAATTTCTCCATGTGTATACACTCTATAAGGCACAGCTCGTCGAACGTGGTTTTTCCACGGCCAGACAATTTCGGGGCTTCTCTGCCGGATGAGTCGTGGGACATCGAACGAGCTGCGATTGCGATGACAACCGAACATGACGAACCTCCCAGAGCAGCTGGGACTGGGACTCCGCTCTTCTGTCCGGTTGCCGGCTGCCCGTTGAGTAATGGGCCCTGTCCGCCGACATGTCCGCGCCAAGGCGTTAAAATCGGTTGTAAAGTATCTGGGGTGCACACCGCGATTCGCGCTTAGAAGCGTATAAAAACTAGACCCGGCCAACGGATCAGCCACAGTTGATCGTCGGCTTCCACTCGGTGCATACAGACTTAAGAACCCTAATCCTCCCAAGAACCAAACAAACAAAATCTAAAAATGGTAAGTTTAGACAGGATCAAAACCACATATTTTAAAAAGTTAAAAAATTTAATTTAAATATTTGTCTTGAATCAAATTAGTGTTTCAGTAGGAGTTTATAAATTTAATACTTTGTTTTAATTTATTCAAGAAATATTATTACTTAAATATTACAAAATGTTGAATGAAGGAAATGTTTAAAATAACACTCAAAAATGAATGTTGGTTTCATCTATGCAATAGTTTAAATTCTAATTTCTGATTTAATTTCTTAAGTCAATGGTAAATTTATTTAGTAAGGACCTACTTATTAATTTAGCATGATTTCTGATTAGGTTATATATTGAGTTTTAAATTTCTTAGATAATCTTCCCAATTTCCTATCCGCAGAACTCTATGACCGTGCTCGCAATCCTCGCCGCCTCCTTGGTCCTCTGTGCAGGCGATGTGTCGCACCTGTCGCGCAGCTATCTGCCCCCCTTGAGTGGCGGCTACTCCTCCGGGTACTCCTCGTATCCGTCGTACTCGAGTGGATCCGGATACTACTCGGGTGGCGGCGTTGGCAGCTACGCCTCGCCCGTGGTCTCCTCCAGTTACAGGAGCTATGCGGTGCCGCAGTACACCACCTATGCCACGCCCTCTCGCACCTACTTGCCGGCGGACACTGGATACACCGGCTACTCCGGATACTCGGGCTACTCCGGCTACAATGGCCTGGACACCAAGTACGGCAGCAATGGTGGCTACGTCTACTAGGTCACCACTTTGGGAGGCCAGCAACAATGGAGCAAGCGGACATCTATATTCCTCAACATTTTTTTTTTGCCTCTGCTAAGATATTTTTTGTGCAATTTATGAATACTAAAATTTTTCAAACGCTTTATGCAGATTAACATACTTGATAGTGTTTAATTTTGATGGGTATGGTTGGCACTCCTTTTTTTTTACTGCCAAATTTCTTGAGAGCAGGGATTACATTTATCTGCTGGTCCTTAAAATATATTTTTGAACATTTTTCAAAGAATTTCAAATTCAATATTATAACATTTAAACAAGTATGCTTACCTTAAAACAATGCCTAAGATGCCTAGGTAATTTAAATGCAAACTGATAGCTTCAATAAACATTATTTACCATAAAAATTGTTTGCGGAATAAACAGGTTTTGCATTGGATCAGTGAAAGTCCAGAGACCTTTTAACTATTTCATAAAATCAATTAAAACCAGACAAGAATTAAAAAAAAACAAAAATTGAAATGCCTTACAATATTATGTTTGAATCTCAGTATGACATGTGCATTTTCAAGGGGCATTTAGGGGGCTCAATGAAAATATAGTACTGATGAAGTATGCTACAATATTTTGTTTTCTTTAATATTCTTTATTTATTATTTCGATTGATAAAAAAAAAAGTTGTCATAAAATATTGTTCAATCGTAAGTTCGTTTTTGTTGAGATCCCTTTAATGCTTCAGGCGGTATTCATAGCCTCCATTGGAAGCGTAGGAACCAGATTTGTGCCCAGATCCGAAGCCACCTCGCAGGCCAGATCCTTGAAGGGAGCCCAGGCTGGTTCCAGAGCCATATCCGTGGCTAGATCCGGTATAGCTAGAGCCATGGCTGGATCCCGATCCCGATCCCGATCCGGAGTAACTCACATGGGAGACGGCTGGGGCGGCATAGCTCTTCCTGGAAGCCACGGGCGCCGAGTAGGAGACATGGGAAGCTGCAGCAGCTGGTGCGGAGTAGGATGATCCATGGGAAACGGCTTGTGCGGAGTAAGATGATCCATGGGATACGGCTGGAGCAGAGTAGGAAGATCCATGGGATACGGCTGGAGCAGAGTAGGATGATACACGGGAGACGGCTGGAGCGGAGTAGGAAGATCCATGAGAAATGGCTGGAGCGGAGTAAGATGACACACGGGAAACAGCTGGAGCGGAGTAAGATGATCCATGGGAAATGGATGGTGCGGAGTAGGAAGATCCATGGGATGATCCCACGGAGCTATAGCTGGTCTGGGATGCAGCCGGAGCCAGATATTGCCTGGAAGGAGCAGCCACCGGAGCGGAGTAGCTCGTATGGGAGGCAGCTGGAGCGGAATAGGAGCCATGGGAACTGCCGGCCGAGGAGTACGATCCATGGGACACGGCTGGAGCAGCATAGCTCTTGTGGGAAACCGCGGGAGCGGCGGACACAATGCTATGGGACACTGCAGCCGGAGCTATGTATTTCCTGGAGGGCACGGCGGCCACTGGAGCGGAGTAGCTGGTGTGGGAGGCGGAGGAGTAGGATCCTAGGGAGGCAGCTGGAGCGGAGTACGATGCATGGGAAACAGCTGGAGCGGAGTACGATGCATGCGAAACAGCTGGAGTGGAGTAGGAGGAGCCTGCCGAGCTGTAGCTACCGTGGGATGCGGCTGGAGCCACGTACTGCCTGGCAGAAGCTGCCTTTCGGACAAAGGTGGCCGCTGGAGCGGCATAGGATCCCGAGGAGCTGGAGGCCGCTGCACTGTACCCACTCTGGGCACCCACCTGGGGCGGCAGATAGGAGTTGCTCAAGGGGGTGGCCCATCCCACCGAGGCCAAGGCCAAAATCACAATAGCGAAGGAGCGCTGCAAAGAATGGAGACATGTAAATCCCCGAATTAAGACCAGGGAAGTACACTTACCATCTTAGTGGATTCTCTCAGTTTTTCTTAATCGTTTCTAGCTGCTGTTCCAGCGTTGGGGCAAGTGGAACTGATGCCGCTGAAGCCGTGAGCCGACACTTTTATAGGAGACCCCGAACAATGGCTGTGCAGGTGAGTACAAATCTTCCAATCCCCCAAAGACACACACACAAAAAATCAAAAAATAAAAAAAAAAAACAGAACTGAAGCGCAAAAAATAAAGCGATACTATTAGAACGCAATGGAATGGGGCGGCAAGAGATTTTGTTGTCTTCTTCTGGTGTTGATGATGATCATAGTTTCGGTGGCCGATGTTGGTTCAACGCACACTGGGCTACATCATAATACTTCAGATGTAGTACTTAAAATAAACTGCTTAACTAGCTTTTATTCTCCCCCTTTTGTTAGTGCAAAATTAGTAATGCCAAAATGAAGAAAAATTAACATATTTCCCACGCTTAAATAACTCTTAAAAAAAGTAAGCAAAAATTGTAGATGAGTGTCTCGATTAAAGGATACCTGGTATGCTTAATAAAATATATTGTTTTTGGTATCAGAAGAACAAAAAGTTTCAAATTTTATTACAAGTCGGTTGGGCTTAAACGATACCAAAAATAGGTAAAACAAATTAATTTTATTTATTTAATTTTTGTGTTTTTTATTATTTTTTTTCTTCGTTTTCTGTTAAAGTCTATACACAACATAAAAATGTGTATGTAAAATAAACCCAAGAAAATAGCTACTATTCCTTTATTTTTCATGTATTTTGATTTTGTTTTTCTATCTTTTGAACTATGAAAAAAGTAAATAAAATTGTTTTGCAAACTTGCAAACCTTGCTGAACAGTGCCAATGAAGAATAGCGCGATTGGAGGATGTCGTAGACTCTATTTATTTGACCGTTTATTTTTAGCCCTGTCCATTTCGGAAGTCGCCGGGAGTAATTAATGATGCGCCGTGCCGCGGGTGAGAAGATCGCGGGTTCGTGAGCCCAGTATTCCAAGCTAATCCAATCCAATATTGGATTGGATTGGATTCGATTCGAATCGAGACAGTGCCCCCATGCACTGACAGCCCGCGTTTTAAAGCAACGATTACTCACCCCACACATTAATTATATTCCACACATATCGGGCTTAATGGTCAGGCACCTTTTCGCTTGTACCCAAGTGTTTATGTCTTTTGCGTGCGTTTATATAATTAAAAAAGAAAAAACAAAATGCTAAAAGAGAAGAGGAATTAACAACAAACAAAAAATTGCTTAAGATCCAAGAAAAAAAACAACATACAAGGGAATAATATGATTGTGGATGTTAAAAATACCCTTGTGGGTTTATATGGTCAATGCAATTTGCATAAAATTGTCAAAGTCATCGGGGGGAATTTATGGCCTTAACTGTTTAAGAAGTTAAGTTGTTATCATAAGCACTTAATTTACTACCTGTTTGCTATTGTCATAAAAGACATTTTAACAAGATCATGAGGAATATACAAAAATACATAAATATGAGTCAATACTTCGACTTTCATTAGAGGAAGATGCACTCTTAAGCTATCTATAATTCACAATTGATGAAGATAATATGACATTTATATTTTCTATAATTTGTATTTATGGTAAGAAACAAAATAACTTTGGGATAACTTTTTACTGAACGCTATCATACCTGTTTCTTATAGAGTAAAACAAGATAATAAAAGACAGTAATTAATTTTTTGCCTTAGAGGTGCGTACTTGAATATGGTGAATAGTCAGTTGGGCTTGCTTTTAAAGTTCATTGTTTACTGGGGATCGGTGGAGTGGAGTTATCTTCACGCAGATTAGAAAGTGACTTCCAATCTAAAAATCTAATTAATACACTTTTTTCTATTTTTTTAAGTGCTTTTTTAATAAGTGTGTTTTATTGTTTTTTTTTACAATTTGTGTGTGTACAATTTTGTTGTATATTTTCTTGTAAACACGACTTTTTTTTAAAAGGATCTAAACAAGCTTATATAAATATTAATCAAGTTACAAATTTTAATAAGAATATAATCGTTGTGGTTGTTTTATCGTGAACTATTATTCATCCAGTTAAAAAAATCAGGCACCAGAAAAATATTTTATTAAGGACCTTTGTGTTTTTAAAACTCTTTATTCTAGCACACAGAGTTTAAAAAATATGGCGAAAATGGAAATAAATAAATAGAACTACCACAAAACTATTAAAAATTACAAATGAAAAAAAAAAGTAGGCTTTCGCCATAATTCTAAATAATTACTTGGGTGAAATCGTAAGTAGATAACACGGCATAATATTGATTGTTATTAGTAAAAGCCCCTTTAAAATGAAAGAAGCAATGTTTTATGGTTTGGATTTGTGGGCCAGATCCTTGGCGTAGGCCACGAACAGGATGTTGTGCTTGCTGGCTACCGGTTTGCCATCGTCCTGGTCGTGTCTCACCTGCAGGATGTCCGAGTCCAGGGTGACTGTGCCCACTAATTGGCCGGGCTTCAGGTAGTAATTCTGGCCCAGCGAAGTGGGACGATGTTCGGTGATGAAGTGATACCTCATGGAGTCGTCGTCCATCTGCTGGATGACCAGATTGGGTCGCCTTGTGGTCACCATCGATTCCACTTCCATTTCCATCTCCGCATGGCCCACTGGTTGGGCGCCAGTTAAAGCAAGCAGTGCCATTGTGAAGATTATGATAAAACCCTTAATCGCCATGATTTGTGTAATGCGATGGATCCAAATCCAAATACAAATCCGAATATGTAACCCGATTCCTGCAGACAGCGATGCCTCAATGCGATTCTGAGCCCTCCAGCTGCATTCTTTTATATCCTGAGCTGCGATTCTGATTCGGAGCCTTCAGGAAGAGCTCTCTCTTTCCCCAATTCATGGCCTGATTCTTGACCGCTCTTCATCCGACATTCGCTGGCAATTTTTTTTTTCATGGCCCGCTTTGGGCATAACAAGTTTTTTGGACATTAACCCGATTTCGATTTCGCACTAAGCGATACAATTTATAAATGTATGCACGCTTATATACCTATACCGATTTTATATATTGCATTCAAAAGGCAAACAGAAATGCAAATTCGGACATACCTCCATATGGACATATATACATATATCCGTATAGGGTATAAACATAAATACACGTTGCCAGCTGCACGATCTCCATTGGATTCGTATAATTAATAAGCTATGCTCTCTTAATGGCAAATAAATGTTGACTAGACTTATTTATTTATCATTTTGCTCGATATTCGTTATTTATGACTTCTTGATTTCTTCCGTAAAAGTCTTCATCGCAATGGTTTCAGGTTTGTATAACATTTTGCTAGCACATTTTCTTTGCTTGATTTCGGGGGAAAGAGTTATAAATTGGTTGCATTATAAAGGTTTTGTTTTCAGACATTTTACCATTTTACCATTTTAATTGGCTGTGATGTTGCGATTTTATGACACTTTTATAGGATATAAAGGAGGCAAGGTGAAATGGAAGTGGCTTTTGTTTAATGGTTATGTGTTTCTTCAATAAAACCAAAAATTTAACTGTGCATTGATTGGAAGCTGTGCCATAAACATGGAAACTGCAAGATCACACGAAATTAAATGAATAACAACTATCTAATATTTATAAACATGTTATTTAAATTTGTTCTTCTGTAGGCCAAGTTCTTTAAATTATAAGTAAATAAAAAATAATACAAAATGTCTTGAAAGATATGATTTTTGACTTAGACCCTATGACTTTTTTGAAGAAAGATCTTGGATTCCCCTTTTTTTTTTTAGCTTCCTTTGTGGTAGTTTTAAAATTAAACCAGCCAAATCCAATTCACAGAAAAAGACTCTAAGCATACCATAAAATATTGAGCTATCTTTAAAAAATCAATACTTTTGTTTATTCCCGGATGTATGCAAAATCGATTAAGCCTCTTGGGAATCCCATAAATTCATGACTAATTTCTTAGAACTGGCCAAACCAGATAAAATGCTTAACTTCTTTAACAGCCAACTAGGATTGGGCAAACTAAATGAAACATGCACTGGAACAGGTTTTAAAACTAAGACCACAATCTGTTCTTAATTAAACATTTAAGCAACCAATTCCATGTATTACAATTAGTAACTTGGGGTGCTCACTTCACTTAACTTTGAATGATTCTAAATAATGTTTGTTGTTTTAACATCCTGGTCTGTTTTAGATTTAAATAAAAAGATTTTATTTGTTTTAGCACATTAGATTCGATTTATTGTAAGAAAAAAAAAGGTTTCGTCGTATGATTAGTTTTCGGTTTTTGGGATGCAGTCTCTAGTAGACGTATCCGCCGTTGGAGCCGTACACGGTGCCCGAAGATCCGGAGTAGCTGCTGACCACAGCGGGAGCGGAGTAGCTGGAGTAGGTCTTGGCCACCACGGGGGCGGTGTAGGTGGACACAGCTGGGGCGGAGTAGGTGGACACAGCTGGGGCGGAGTAGGTGGACACTGCTGGGGCGGAGTAGGTGGACACAGCTGGGGCGGAGTAGGTCTTCACCACGGCGGGAGCGGTGTAGGTCTTAGTCACCACGGGGGCAGTGTAGGTCTTAGTCACCACAGGGGCGGTGTAGGCCTTGACTGCGGGGGCGGTGTAGCTGGAGTAGGTCTTAGCCACCACGGGAGCGGTGTAGGACTTCACCACGGCGGGAGCGGTGTAGGACTTCACCACGGCGGGGGCAGTGTAGGTCTTAGCCACCACGGGGGCGGTGTAGGTCTTAGCCACCACGGGGGCGGTGTAGGACTTCACCACGGCGGGAGCGGTGTAGGTGGACACAGCGGGAGCGGAGTAGGTCTTCACAACAGCGGGGGCGGTGTAGGCCTGGGTGTAGCTGGACACAGCGGGGGCGGAGTAGGACTTGACCACTGGAGCGGTGTAGCTGGACACGGCAGGGGCGGAGTAGGTCTTCACCACGGCGGGGGCGGTGTAGGACTTCACCACAGCGGGAGCGGTGTAGGTGGACACAGCCGGAGCCGAGTAGCTGTAGGTGGAGGCAGCCGGGGCGGAGTAGGACTTGACCACGGGGGCGACGTAGCTGGCGGCGGGCTGCTCGTAGGTCTCCTCGGCGGCGGTCTCAGCGGCATAGGAAGCGGTCTCGACGGCGGCGGCGGCAGGAGCGGCATAGGACTCGCTGGTGAAGGAGGCGGCCGGGGCGGAGTAGGACTCGCTCTCGTAGGTGGTGGCCACGGCGGGGGCCTCGTAGGTCTCGGAGGCGGCGGCCACGACGGGAGCGGCCTGGTAGGACTCGTAGCTGGAGGAGGCGGCTGCCGAGTGGGGGGGCAGGTAGGTGTTGGTCAGGTGGCTGACATCGGCCGAGGCCAGGGCCAAAAGGGCAAAGGAGAGAACGGCGAAGAATTTCTAAAAAAAAATATAAAATTTCATTTAGATACAAAGATAATAAAGATAAGAGAATCCCTTTAGAGGATCTCGGGGAACAGGATCCAAGCAGAAAGCTAGAGCTTACCATGTTGCTGGGACCGAAGCTGGGAGAACACTAGTACCTTCTCCACAGCCAAACCGCCTATTTATAGTCGCCGAAAATGTCTGGCCAACTTGATACACGAATGTCAAAAGGCGCTACAAAACCAGAACAAAACGCACACCCGAAAGCCACACAAACTATATCGTCTATACTCAAAAAACCCGCCATCGAAAATAAAAGAGCCATAATAATGAAGCATTTCGTCCGCGGAGCTCATTAGTCGCCAATAATATTCCGACTTTTCCCCATTCCACTCCCCTTCCCCCTTCCCCATCCGATTCTCAGTCTGATTCTAGAGCTGAATCCAATTTTATTCGCGAATCGCAGATGATGAGGTTGATAAAAAGGGGGAAGAAATGCTATACATGAGAAATGGCAAACACGGGCCGTATGAAACTCGTTATTGAAGTCCATTCATAAGTCGGTTCCGCCACTTACTCATCCATCAAAGCAGAATCAGAGGTTAGAGCCAAGGCGATTCAATACAAAAGCCCTCGAAGAAGAGCACTGCCAGCCGAATTCTAAACAGTTACTCCATTAATCATTATCGGGGATTTACCTGAAAAGCAATAGCTTACATGGCGGGAAACCTTAGCCACAGACTAATTGTGTTTGATGGGAATCGCCCGAACTTTCAGACATCCTTGAGAAATAAACAATCACCCTATTATATATTACAAACCATTTTCTAACATATATCAGTCAGTTTTTATTCCACACAAAAGCTAAAAATATTTACAGATCAAGACTTTATATCCAGTGATCATCAATTTAAGTGTTTGCTGGGCTATTCCCATTCCAAAGTAATTAATTTCCTTATGACACTCTCTCGCCAAAGTCTACTGAACCCAGTAATCACTCCTTATTTATTCTTCCCAGAAACATCAATAAATATCAGCCGCTTAAGAATTCAATTTAGCTATTAGATGATAATGTATCTGCCTAATAATTTATTAATGTAGAAAACCGCTTTAAGGTGATTTATAATTTGGTGGCTTACCGTTTTGTGAAATTGCCATATTTCAAGTCACACATAAGAGATGGAGTTTCACGATAAGTACTGGAATTTCAAGAATTGTTCTAAATATGTGAGATTTTTTTATCACGGTATGTTTTTGTTCTTCAGAAAGCAGTTGAGGCAAAAATAATTGTTTGTTAAAAAGGTAAACATAAAATTTAGTAAAACAAACATGCTTAGAATCTTGAAAAGTATTCTCTTGCATAAATTACGAGTATTTATATACTTTCAATAGTATTTTAATTTCCCATTCTACTTTGGAATATAAAAGAAAACCATATTAAGTGAATGGTTTTCAAATCCGACTAAATAAAATAAATTTGCATGATTCTTGACTTCCTTATCAATAAAACATTCAAATGAAGGCATTTTTTTTTTTATATAACAAAAACAGTTTATTGGTTTAACAAAAATTGTATAACGATAAAAAAAAGGTGCTAGAAATTGGCTACGTAACACTAAGTTCTGATGAACCGATTGGCGATCAGCGATTGGCGATTGGCGTTCGATCCCCAACTCGATGCGAGTTCGGACCTCCGCCGGGGTCCGTTCACGGGCATCCTACATCCTAGTACAGGTATCCCCCGTTGGCGGCGTAGCTGGTTCCGATCTCAACGGGCACTGGAGCGGGAGCGGGAGCGGCCACGATCTCTGTCTTCTGGACAATGGGAATGGCAGCAGGAGCTGGGGCGGACTGGGTGTAGGTCACCTGCTGTTGCACCGCCTGTGGGGCATACTGCACAATGGGTTGGGCTGGTTGCTGGACTTGGATGGGGGCAGGTGGTGCGGGCACAAAGGATTGCTGCAGCTGCACTGGAGCGGGAGCAGGGATGGAAACCGGAGCAGGAGCAGGAGCAGGAAGAGAAATCGGAGCAGGAGCAGGAATGGAAATCGGAACAGGAGCTGGAGCAGGGATCACCACTGGAGCTGGAGCTGGAATGGACACCTGAACCGGAACTGGAGCTGGCTGAGGAGCCCGGTAGGAGTAGCCACTGTACTGCGGCTGCTGCACCACCTGTTGGATGGGTTCAGGGATCGAAATAGGAGCCGGAGCGGAGTAAGTCTGCTGAGCCACTGGAGCAGGAGCACTGTAGAATTGTTCCTGAGCAACTGGAGCGGGAGCTGGAGCGGAGTAGCTCTGCTGAACTACTGGAGCAGGAGCATTGTAGAACTGTTCCTGAACCACTGGAGCGGGAGCTGGAGCGGAGTAGGTCTGCTGAGCCACTGGAGCGGGAGCGGCGTAAGTTTGCTGAGCCACTGGAGCTTGGTGAACCACTTCCTGAACCACTGGAGCGGGAGCGGAGTAGGTCTGCTGAGCCACAGGAGCTTGTTGAACCACTTCCTGAACCACCGGAGCTGGCTGGTAGACAGGAGCCTGCTGGACCACTGGAGCTGGGTAAGAGTAGGTCTGCTGGGCAACTGGAGCAGGAGCTGGTGCAGTGTAGGTCTGTTGAACCACCTGAGGCTGCTCCTGAACCACTGGAGCTTGCTGAATAACTTCCTGAACCGCAGGGGCTTGCTGAATCACTTCTTGAACCACTGGAGCTTGCTGAACCACTGGAGCTTGCTGAACCACTGGAGCCGGAGCACTGTAGGTCTGATGAACCACCGGAGCCTGCTGAACCACCGGAGCTTGCTGAATAACCTCCTGAACCACAGGAGCGGGTGCTGAATATGTCTGCTGAGCCACAGGAGCTTGCTGAATCACTTCCTGAACCACCGGAGCCTGCTGAATAACAGGAGCTTGCTGGACCACTGGAGCTGGGTAAGAGTAAGTCTCTTGAGCAACTGGAGCTGGAACTGGAGCAGAGTATGCCTGCTGAACCACTGGAGCAGGAGCGGGAGCTGAGTAAGTCTGTTCCTGAACAACTGGAGCTGGAGCGGAGTAAGTCTGCTGAACCACAGGAGCGGGAGCAGGAGCAGAGTAGCTTTGTTGAACCACTGGAGCGGAGTAGCTCTGTTGAACCACTGGAGCAGAGTAGCTCTGCTGAACCACTGGAGCGGGAGCTGGAGCAGAGTAAGTCTGGTGCACCACCTGGTGCTGTTCATGAACGGCAGGAACCTGAACTGCAATCGGCACTGGAGCGGGGGCCGTGTAGGTGGTGGTGATGGTCTCCTGCTGTGGCTGTGGTGCAATGGTCTCAACCACTGGCTCGGGAGCGGGCACAAATTGCTGGACGGGAGTGGGTGGCAGGTAGGCGTTCCTCACCGACGTCTGGGTGGCCACAATGGGCTTGGGTGGCTCATAGATCACCTGCGGAGCTGGCTGGGAGTTCTCCACGGGAGCGGGAGCGGGAGCGGGGATGACTGCTGGAGCAGGGACAGGGGCAGGGATCGAAACGGGAGCTGGAGCACTCTGGTACTGCTGACCGCCAGATTGGATGGTGAAGCTGGCCAGTGGAATGGAGGCCTTGATGGACTCCACCTGGGCGTGGATCTGCGACTGGATGACCTGCTGGATCTGTGGCTGCACCACCTGCTGGAAACTGGGTGCGGCGGACACCTCCTTCAGGGGCAGTGGTGGCAGGTACCCTCCACCCGGACGTCCACTGACATCCACCACGACCAAGCTGATGACAGCCAGAACGACAAAGGCAAAGGATTTCTGCACGTGGGGAGGGAAAGAAGTCACAAATCACTGAGTGGTAATCACTTGAAAAAAATACATGGGCGTGGGGTGGGGGGGTTGGGGTTGAGATGGCCACTTACCATCTTCACTGGGGTCACAAACAGAGAGCTAGAGGTGCACCGAGCGAACGTAACCGATTAACTGATGACCAACTCGGAGACCCCGTCTGCATTTATAGTTGCCAGCTCTCTTTCCCCTTAATTGGTGCGATCCGCCAGATGTGGATGTTGGTAATGGGAATGCTAATGCAGATGGCCAACAATGAAATCATGCAAAACACATCTCATTTTCGGTGTGGATTATTAAATGGCCAAAACCACGACTCGTGGCCGAGTCACCAAAACACTTCGTTTGATAACAAACAGTCCAATGTAGCTAAGGCCGGTTACACATCAAATTTTAATGTGCATTTTTAATTTTCCCGAGGAATCTATTTTTTATGGTCTTAGCCTGCAAACTCTACATGGAGTCATATAAATATGCATCGTGAAATTATATAAATCTGAAACTTAACGTCTCATATTAGCTATACTCATCCTGAATTAATGTTATCTTGAACAATAAATACTTGAATTTAAGGGAGATTTATTTTGAAAACAGTAAGTATCTATAAATGATATTTTTTTTTTACAACAAAAATTAGTTTAATACAAACTAAATTTCAGCAAAGGTAAAACAAATGTAAGAATTATTTTATTCTGTATCCGTTTTTGACCCAATTGCACTTCCCTAATTGGTTGTATTCCAATTCATTACATGGACTTTTTAAAAGTAGGTGTAGCTTTTTTTCACTGTAGCTAAGATAAGCACAAGGTTTTAAAAATCAATGGGTGTGCAAAAATTGTTTAAATATTTATCAATCGGTGTGTCCATCTGGCCAATTTACACCTTGGCCACTTAAACTTAAAGAGTCGAGTGCATTGACTTTTGCTTCCAATGGGTGATATAAGATGCATTATTATTTTGTAAGATTTATGCATTTTAGTGAATAGGTTGATTGATGTAGTTACATATTTAGAATCTTAACTTGTTATTTATAAATCAATTTGTTCAGAATTTAATGGTAATAATACTTGGTGTCTTACACATGCAATAGTGGAATTTAAATTTAAATAAATAGTTTTTGTTTGTTCCGGCTTCATCAACGACTTAAATAATGTGTTAGTGTACTAAGACTTTAAGGACATAGAATACTTTTAGTAAAATAAGAAAAGTAGTATATTTTTATGGTTTTTGGATTATATATATGCACTAGAATAAATTAAGTTATCAGTAGATTCAGCATAGTGAACATTAAATTAAAAAATGTAATTTATTGGTTGGGTTTGCTAAACCTTGCTTGAGACTTTCGTCCATTGTCTTTGCCAGTCAGCTCCAAAAATTTATGACAAGATGTAAATCGGTTATGGGCCTACCAGGCCGATTTCCCAACTTGTGAGATCTCACTCGGTGGCAGACATGTGTCCAACCTTCGGACGTTTTCAATGGGCCATAAGTTATCGGTAATCAGGGGCCACTATCTCAATATGGTTATATCTTTTGTATATGCATTTCGTAGGCGTGTGGCGGAGATTATGATAAGCGTGTTATGGGCTTAAAAGCGAGGCGTTCGAGATAATACAAAAAGTATACAAATAATAAGGCCAGATAATGCGGATCTTCGGAGGCCACATCTGGCGCCCCCAAAAAAATAAAGCCCAGAAAAGTAGTGACAAATTGAAAACAAGGTTTAGCAGGTTCACAAAAGAAAATGTCAAGTTGAGGGCCTTTGACAACCGCGGGCACAGTGTGGCTTAATTATGACTAATTGCTGTGCGAACAGCCTCTACATCCGAAACTATGGCTCACGCGCGTCCGCGATGAATATTCAAAATTGCAACAAACTGGTGAATCGAATTGGATATGCCAACAGGGGGAGCAGAAAGCCCAGCTCGATTTGCATAAAACCAGGTGAATGGCAACAGGTTAAAGCTGCAAAATGCTCCATGGAATATGAGATCAGAGATCTAGCAGAAAGTAAATAATCTCCTTGAAACGCTTTACTAATCTATACTGAAAGCTATTGATAACCGTTTTTAAAATCCGATTTCTTGCTTTCCATTTTATTCAGGCATATTCTTTATCTTCCAAAAAAAGTTATTCCAACATCAGCTAAGTAAGTCCACTCTCTATAAATTTATTTGCATATAACGATAAATAAGTAAGAATTATTAGTGCTTATACAGAATATTTGTACTTCCTATTAAAAAAGTTATTTGTAGAAAAAGTTCTTGCAATATCAGTTGTTTTAAGCCCATCTTTATAAATTTATTTATATAAAAAAGAAATAATTTTAAAAGAGCTTAATATTTAATTGTTCAGATATTAGTATAAAAATCTTTTAGCTTGACATTTTTACTAGATATTGTAATTTTGAATGAAACATTGTTTTTAAGTCTATAAAAAAAATTACAACCACAGTTTCTGATTTAATTTCAACGTTTGTTACCTAAAATTAATATTATAGACTTGTTTGGTATATAAAATTAATAACAGAAGGTCGAAAAAGAGTGGGCTATCCTCTGGCGAACTAATCCGCCATCTGATGTAAGATGAACCGTGTCATAAAAGCTGAGTGAAGATCTCCCACCTTCGTAGTGAACAAAAGACCCAAAGTAATTTTCTTCTTTTTGCAGACTCTTCAAAAGCCATAAAAAGTCGGCATAAAAGTATTTAAATGTGTTTACTGAATCCCAAACAACAACATAACCAAAAGCGAGGTATAAATAATTCAGTGGAGACATAAAAAAAGATGAATAGAAATCAATTCGGGCTAGCTGAAGTCTATAGTTTTTTGTTTGATATCATTTTGAATGTCTTTTGAAATGAATGCCCAAACATGGGAGTTGAATAGATCTGGAATTAATCGATGGAAAAATTCCCCTATTAATGCCCATTCCCATGTTGTGCCTGAAAAAGAAATCCATTATCATAAATGTTCTTTAAGGGAAACTCTTTGACGTCAGAAACTAGTTTGGCCCAAAGAAAAAAACGTAAAGCTAAAAATAACCTAGACGATTCTTCGAATTTGGCAGACATAATAGATGTAATTAATTTAAGCCTATTATGTTTGCCCTTTAGGAGATCAAATTTGTTCTCTACTTTTTTCTTCCCTATTCTTTGACGTCAACTTGTAATTAAGGGAAAACTGGTTTCTTTAGTTATCATTAAACATTTTTTTTTTGCTGAAAACCAGGTGATTAATGGATTTTGAAATTGTAATGCTTAAGTTAATAAATAGATTTCGTATGATACAGTAACTGATTTTGGACTTCTTTGATTGAACTTATAATAATTATATACTATACATTAAAATTAAATGAAATTATTGTGTCAATATGTAAAGAACGCAGATTTGTATTACAATAACGTTCATAATTTATATTAAAATCGAAATAGTATTGATATGCATACATATAAAACAGAAAGATTAGGATCGCCAAATAAATCCTATGATCAAATTCTTTGTCAAAGAATACATTTAGTTTTTGTGGTCAGAAGTCACTTAATTCTTCCACATAAAATGTTGAGAGTTCAATAAACTTTTAGGGATGCAGCCTATAGATCGTAAATATTGTGTGCAAATTAACCCCAGGATTATGATTTTAATCCACAACCAACTCATCATGTTTTTTTCAGACTTTTATCGCCATGTCTTGACTTTTGCAGACATCATAATTTATGAATCAGATGTTTAGCCGCCTGGTGTATGCATAAAACATATATAAATGTGTATTTGTGTATCAATCACGGCGATAGATTGTCTCGTTTATGGTTATCAGTCAGTTCGGCGATTTGATTCGATTAGCATAAAGACAAACGCTTTGTCTGTCCATTGGATTATGGCCACAAAACAAATGGATAAATAAAAACACAGACGGAAAAATACGAAACAAAAAAATGGTTGATAATTTATAATGAACTTGTTGATGCACTAGTCCCAAATTGGGTCTATAAAACCCTCGGATCACTTGGTCCGCTGGTAGATATATCCGCCATTTGTGGCGTAGACCGTATCCGCCGTGCTCTTGGGGTCATCGGCCAATGGAGGTGGGACCACTGCCTCGCTTTTCTGCTCCTTTTCCGGCTCATCGGAGTAACCAGGCGGTGCTGGTCCTCCGAATCCGGGTCCGAATTGCTGGTATGGATTCTGCCCGGGCACTGGTCCACCGAATCCCGTGGGCACATTGAATCCCGCGGGGTTGGGTCCCTGGAAGGGGCCTTGTGGATTGGTCAGTGGAAGACCCTGGTTGGTCAGGAATTCTGGGAAGGGTCCTCCTGGAGGTGGGAAGCCATTTCCGGGAACTCCTTGGGGTGGAAACCCGTTTCCGGGACCTCCTTGTGGTGGGAATCCTGCTCCTTGTGGTGGAAATCCGGCTCCCTGTGGGAAACCAGCTCCTTGAGGTGGAAATCCTGTTCCCTGTGGTGGAAAACCTGTTCCCTGTGGGAAACCAGCTCCCTGTGGTGAAAAGCCTGGTCCCTGTGGTGGGAAACCGGCTCCCTGTGGTGGGAATCCTGCTCCCTGTGGGAAGCCAGCTCCCTGTGGTGAAAAACCTGCTCCCTGTGGTGGGAAACCAGCTCCCTGTTGTGGGAACCCGGCTCCCTGTGGTGGAAATCCAGCTCCCTGTGGTGCAAATCCAGCTCCCTGTGGGAAACCCCCTCCCTGCGGACCAAAAGGACCTCCACCCTGAGGCAGCTGGAAAGCCGCATTCGGAGCTCCGCCCGTGAAGGGTCCTCCACCTCCATTGGGATATGCCGAGGGCACCGGACCGATGCCTGGACCCACTCCCTGCTCGCCAGGACCTCCGTTGAAGCCGAAGAAGGGCGGGTAGATGGGCAGGGGGAAGTTCGGGGGCTGGACAGGCGGTGGTGGAACGTTGCCGCCCGTGGGAATGGCATAGCCCGGCGGCAGGGGCAATCCGTTGGAGGGATAGAACCCGGACGGGTCCTTCTGCACCTCCTTCGCATCATCGGACTGCGTGGACCGGGTGGCTGCATCCTGATCCGCACTGGGCGGAATGTAGTCCTTGGCCAGGTGCCTCACATCCCCGCTAATTAGGGGCAGGAGCAGGACCAGCACGGCCCATGGCTGCTGCATCATCTCGTTGTCCGGCTTTATCTCTGGGAGCTTCCACGACGACGGAAACTATGTGGCCACGGGCCTCGGAGTTGGCACTTATAAGACAGCATATTACATAAATCGCGCCCGGCTCATTTCACTTTCCCATTCGCCGAACGGAAATTGCCTTGCATCATCACAAAGGTTCCATAAATAGTCGCGAATAGTCGGCTGGTCGAAGGTGCGAGGGGAAGTGCGAAAACTGAACTATAAAAATTAATTTGTCGGCCGGATTTTACATAAATAAACTAACGCCGAAATCGAATGCCAAATTTAGCATATGCCAAAGAAAAGAGACGATGAGAAATGGCTCTAAGAAAGAAAAGAGGAAACAATAAAAGATAATAACATTTGCAACAATTTTGAAGCAAAAGCAGTGTTGATAAAGCCGGAAAAAAGCATAAAAAAATATCAATTCACTTTGCTTGCTCAGAACCAAAGGCTTTTATTAAAGTCTTAAGAAGCAAGTATAAAAAAAGAATGCAAAGTTTTTCTTAAAAATAGATGTATATATCCCAGTGTTGACAAATTTATTTTGGAACTAGTGTTGACAAGTTCATTATGTAGCAAAAGCTTTAACAAGGGACTATTAAATTATAAGCTCGAGCCCACCAGCAAGTTTTTTTGAAACCCTTAAAATTAGCAGAAAAGCTTAAAAGAAAAGTTAGTCACAGCTTCCAAGTTTAATCAAAGCTCGAAGCTGTTTATAAAAAGCTCAATGGATTAATCAAAGCTTTATGTTAAATGTTTTTGCTCAATAATAGTGTTGTTAATGGATGTCTACAACCTGAATTCGCTGAATTAAAACATTATGAATAAGCTGAATGCAAGACTGAAAATTATGGAAAATTAAGAACACTCATAAATTTATAGTTTGGACATCGATGCGGCTCAACATTTTATGTTCTTGTTTACTATCGATGGGCTTAAAAGGCCTAAGATCATGGCTATTTTAAGAAGTGATTTTAAAATTCTGAACTGATGTCACTTTAGTTCAATCATAATATATATGCACATCTATCAAAAATATATTCAAGCTTAAATCCAAAAATTTGCATTTATCTAAGAGTTTCCTTTTATTATTTTCGGGTTTTAGGACAAAGGTTTTGTAAATGTCAAATAACCAGTTACCTATTTGAATTATTCAAACCACTTACTTTTGACGTCCGATTACTAAACCATTAACATTAATTAATTTGCATTTTCTTTGTTTTCTTAAGTCTTAGGATTCGTCTATAATGTTTTGGGATGGGTAATAGAAAGCATGTCTAGTTTCAGGTTTTGTAATTAGAGTGTTGGTATTTCTTAACTATATTAATCAATTTAATTATAGAGTAAAATCTTGTTTTACCAGCTTTTTTTTTGTTAGTTGTGAACATTTTTTAATTTATACATACTTGTTAAATTCTAAGTTTATAGAAGTATTTTGTGGACTTAGCTTGCATAACTCCTGAGATCCAGGTTTTCAAGCATATAAACAAATGATCTACAGATCTAAAATATATAAACCGTATTTTCCTGTTTTCTTTAGTATAATTTTGCACAAACAAAATATTTTTTTAAAGCAATTCGATTTTTTGTAATAGTCTAACTAACTACTTCTATATTTGTTGTTTATCATATTCTTCTTGAACTTATTATCAGGATTTCATTCATTTAAGAAGTTTTTATTTAAAATCCATCATAAAACATAAAATATTTCAGTATTGTTTTATAACAAAATGTTGTTTATAAAAAACAACTGCGTTTCTTAAGTTATAGCTTCCTGTTAGAACGACCCCCATTGTTCCCAAAACCCAATTAAAATACATATATTTGTTCGGATTATTGGACTTTTTACTTTTGCTTGTTAACAAAGTTTACAATACAGGTAAAAACAAAAAAAAAGGTAAGATGGTGAATTGGGGCAGAGTATGTATGTATGTACACTGTTTCGGATTCAGTTGCAGGCCTCTGGAGCCGCTTACTCCTTACTTCCTGTAGACATAGCCGCCGTTGGAGGCGTACTGGGTGCCCACATCCACGGAGGGAGCGGAGTAGCTCACCGAGGGGGCGGAGTAGCTGCTGATGGCAGGGGCGGAGTACGACTGCTGGACGGCAGGGGCGGAGTAGCTCACCGAGGGGGCGGAGTACGTCTGCTGGACAGCGGGGGCGGAGTAGCTCACCGAGGGGGCAGCATAGCTGACCGAGGGAGCGGCGTAGGACTGCTGGACGGCAGGAGCGGAGTAGCTGACGGCAGGAGCGGAGTACGACTGCTGGACAGCAGGAGCGGAGTAGCTGACCGAGGGAGCAGAGTAGCTCACGGAAGGAGCGGAGTAGCTCACCGAGGGAGCAGAGTAGGTCCTCTGCACAGCCGGGGCGGAGTAGCTCACCGAGGGAGCGGAGTAGGTCCTCTGGACGGCAGGAGCGGAGTAGGACTGCACGGGTGGCAGGTACTCGTTGCTGGGCGCCACATAGCTCTGCTGGACGGCAGGGGCGGAGTAGGTCTGCTGGACGGCAGGGGCCGAGTAGCTCACCGAGGGGGCGGCGTACGAGTTCTGGATGGGGGGCAGGTACTCGTTGCTCAGGTGGCTCACATCGGCGGCCACGCAGGCGAACAGGGCGAACACAATGAGGAATTTCTGCAAGTAGGATAACAAAACACTTCACATTATAGCACATTTACAGAATCACACAACAACAAAAAAAAAAATAGTAAAAAAATGTATATATTTTTTTCTCTCTCTGTAAATAGGTGGGTACAGCTGGTAATCCTTTACTGACCATTTTGAGTTGGTGGTCTGTGGGTTTTGAAGCGACTGTGCTGGATGAGCTAGAGGCTGCGACTGATGCCGGTCCCTAGAGCGGGCTTTCAATTTATAGCGGCCGGCCGGTCCGAAGAAAAGCCCCGGTTCGAGGCGGAGCGGGCTCAACTGCAGCGGCGGCAGCCGTCGGAGAAGAAGAAGAAGAAGGGCGAGCGGTAAGAGCGGTAAGAGCGGCCAACGGACCAACAAGAAGCGGCGGCAGAAGTCGCCACCATAAATTCAACGCAAAGAGCAAGAGGTGCTTGAAGTTCAGAGCCAATTTCACAGCTGGATTTTTCCAAAACTAATTGTCAAAAACAATTAAATGACAATAACTCGCTGGCAATGCAATGAAGAGTACCATAAAGACTTGTTAATACCCAACTAAAAATATACAAAGAGGCTTAGCTTTTAATGGTTAGTGTCTATAAACCCCAATATATCAATCATTCATTTTCCAATTCATTCCTATTGCAGCTTTACATTGCAGATTTCCGATTCTTTTTTATGTTTTTTATTTTGATTATGATTGTATATTATTGTTTTGAAACATAACCCAATTATGGATTTTCTTCTTACTAGTTAAATATTGTAATTAATAAGATTTCTAAAGCAGTGCTTTTTGTAAATTCATAAACTTTTTCAGAAAAAGCTAATGCTCTTAAGTAGAGGTATTTAGTAGCTGATATTATTATAAAATAAATTATTTAACTGCTCTTTTGATATTAACACAGCACGTAGATATAAAACAATTATTCACAGCTTTAAAACTGCATGTGGCAAAAGTGCTACTTAAAATCAAAAAAATAACAAGATGTTTGCTCATTTTGGAGTTTGCACATAATAATTAATTAATAGCCCTTACATCCACATCGTGCCATTGCATTTAGCAATAAATTCGCTAAAATGGCAACACTAAACAGGGAGGGGGTTTAAAATATAAAGCAAAACTGCCAAACGGAAAATCACATAAAAATTAAATTTAACATAAAACGAACGAAATCGCACATGCAAACGGGTTTGGTTTGGTTTGGCTCATTTACAATATTTTATTTTTTCCATCGACGCAACGGGTTTCGGTGGCTGAACTACTTTGGGACACCTTTCGTGGGGTCTTCAATCAAGCTTATTAGTGGGGGAGAGGGATAGAGGGGGTGCCCTGGGGGAGGGAGCCCATAAAAACTGAAGACTAGCCCGCCATTAGAGCCAAATGGGGCTCCACTAATTAACATTCAATTTAACACATTAAACGCCACGCAAGCTTTTCTCGTTTTAGCCACTTTTCGGTGGTTAACCGCAGAAATGGGCCGGCCCAGAAGGAGATCCATTTCCAGATCTGGCCTCGTCCGAGACACTCGGCTAGATGGATGGCCCCCAGAATGTCGTGTTCGGCAACGGGGCAACAGATCCACAGATCCACACTCGCACTTTCTAAAAAGCCATAAACACAGGCCCATCAGAGGAGCCGGCAGAAGACGGCCTTGAGAACAGCCGCCGCAGAGTTACGAGTTCCCGAGCTGGCTTTACATAATAAGTAACAACTTTTACTCGCATCCACATCTTGCGGCTGACGTTGCCCGTGAACTTGAAATGCAGCGAACAGTAAGGCTGTCCTGCACTGGCAAAAATCATAAACAGCAGAACAACTAATTTATTTTAATATAGACTAATAACACAGACGTACGAACAAACGATTGAAAAAATGAAATGCTATTCACAGCTAAAAATTTAAAAGAAATGATGACAAATTTAAAATTTAAAATAGAAAGTCATCATTTTTTGCTAAAAAATATCCGTTTTTTTACGATAGCAATGCTAATAATTGTCCGATAATGGAATGCCATACCTTGTTGAACTCCTAGAAAATTTCCAATCAAGTTGCATTCACAGCTTTTTTTGTAAAATTTTTGAGAAAAATGATGATGAAAAATGTGAAAGGTGAAAAATTTGAATATGGATCAGTTTTCGCTTAAAAATATCAGTATTTTTACGATAGCAATGCTAATAATTGTCCGATTATGAAATGCCATACCTTGTTGAACTCGTGGTAAAATTTCCAATCGAGTGGCATTCACAACTTTTTTTGTAAAATTTTTGAGAAAAATGATGATGAAAACCCTTTGAAAAATGTGAAATGTGAAAAGTTGGAATATGGATCATTTTTCACTTAAAAATATCAGTATTTGTACGATAGCAATGCTAATAATTGTCCAATTATGGAATGCCATACCTTGTTAAACTCGTAGCAAAATTTCCAATCGAGTGGCGTTCACAACTTTTTTTGTAAAATTTTTGAGAAAAATGATGATAAAAACCCTGTGAAAAATATCAGAACTTTAAAGATAACAATGCGAATAACTATCCAATAATGGAATGCCATACCTTGTTGAACTCGTAATCAAACTTTCAATTAATCTGCATTCACAGCTTTTTTTGAAAAATTTTCAAAAAAAATGGAAATGCCGATTTAAATCTCAGTATAGAGGTAAAGTAAGTTGGAAAAGGAATTGGGGAAACTTAAATTTAGCATCCGTATTCGGAGAACTATAATTGGGCAACAGTGAACGGGAAATGCTGATCTCAAAACCGGTATTTTAAAACAGTTATAAGAAGAAAAACATTTAATCGATGTTGTTTCTGACACTTTACATTGTTCAGTCACAGAAAATAAGAAATACAAATGTGTTTCACGTTAAAAAAAATGTATTTAATTATAATAGACTCTGGGGCTCTTAATGCATTAGCTTAGTAAACATAGCCGCCGTTGGAGGCGTACTGGGTCTCCTGTCCACTCGTCGAGTAGCTGGCCTCCAGGTGACCTGGGGCGATGGTGTCGCCGCCGATGGCCTCGGGCACATGGGTCTCCACATTGAACTCCTCGATGCCATTCGAAGCGGGCTCCTCGTACTGATGGGCAGATGAGACGACTGGGGCCTGTCCCTGGACGTAGGACGGGATCAGCTGGGCGGACTGGTAGCTACTGGCACCCGATCCGGGGAGGACGGCCTTGGCCTGGCTCTGGACGTAGCTGCTCTGGACCACGGCGGACTGATCTCCACCAGAAACAACAGCAGTAGCAGCGGGCTGATAGGAACTGGAATCTCCGCCAGGCACTACAGTCTGCTGTTGCTGAATGTACCTGTAGTGGGCCTCACGATCGGCCTGCGGAATAAACTTCTCGGGCGTGTAGGTATCAGCACCAATAGCAGCAGGAACTGGAGCATAAGTATCAGCTCCAATAGCCGCCGGCACGGAAGCTTTAAGGTGTGTGGAAGTGTATTCAGCAGGTTGGTAGGAGCTGGAATCGCCACCAGGAACAACCTCTGCAGCCTTGAGATGGACAGGAGTGTACTCAGCGGGTTGATAGGAACTAGCATCACTACCAGGAGCAATCTCAACGCTCTTCAAGTGCTCTGGAGTGTATTCAGCGGGTTGGTAGGAGCTAGAATCGCCACCAGGAACAATCTCAGCTGATTTCAAGTGCTCAGGAGTGTATTCAGCGGGTTGGTAGGAGCTCGAATCGCCACCAGGAACCACTTCAGCTGCAACAGCTCCATAAGAGGCCTGCTTGAGATGGGTGGGAGTGTATTCAGCAGGTTGGTAGGAGCTCGAATCGGCACCAGGAACAACTTCAGCTGCCTTCAAGTGTTCGGGAGTGTATTCAGTGGGTTGGTAAGAGCTAGAATCGCCACCAGGAACAATCTCAGCGGATTTTAAGTGCTCAGGAGTGTATTCAGCGGGTTGGTAGGAGCTCGAATCGCCACCAGGCACCACTTCAGCTGCAACAGCTCCATAGGAGGCCTGCTTGAGATGGGCGGGAGTGTATTCAGCAGGTTGGTAGGAGCTCGAATCGGCACCAGGAACAACTTCAGCTGCCTTCAAGTGTTCGGGAGTGTATTCAGCAGGTTGGTAAGAGCTAGAATCGCCACCAGGAACAATCTCAGCGGATTTTAAGTGCTCAGGAGTGTATTCAGCGGGTTGGTAGGAGCTAGAATCGCCACCAGGAACCACTTCAGCTGCAACAGCTCCATAGGAGGCCTGCTTGAGATGGGCGGGAGTGTATTCAGCGGGTTGGTAGGAGCTGGAATCACCGCCTGGAACAACCTGTGCGGTTTTTAAGTGCTCGGGAGTGTATTCAGCGGGTTGGTAAGAACTCGAATCGCTTCCAGGAATGACTTCTGCTCCAACAGCTCCATAAGAGGCCTGCTTGAGATGGGCGGGAGTGTATTCAGCGGGTTGATAGGAGCTGGAATCACCGCCTGGCACCACTACCGAAGAAGAGGATGATGATGAGGAAGTGGCGGAGAATCCGTAGCCTCCTTCGGCGGACAGGCCCAACTTCAGGTGACTGACATCGGCGGCGACCAGGCCCACAAAGGCCAATGCGATGACGTGGAACTTCTGGAAACGGCGATAAGAAAGTAAATAGGGATGAGAGGGCGGGTGGGGTGGCGGCTGAATTGTCCGCGGTGGTTCCCCCTAGAACCGAAACTCACCATGTTTTGGCTGAATCTGTTGATCTGAAGGAGGCGTTTCAGGTTTTTATACCCACAAAAGATTATGGGCCTATGCTAATTGGAGTTTTGTTTTGATATCCGCTTGATTTGGTTCCTACAAAATTTCTGTCAACCCATCTGCCTGTATTTTCCTATTTCTTTTTTGGGTTGCGAATTTGCATAGGCAACATAACAAAAGCGGCGATCTAATCAACATGATTAGAACCTCTCCGGGTCCGACCGCCTCGACCTTTACGTCAATTAAACTGTCGTCTGGCTAATACACAGAGAGAATAGTATTATACGACTCCTCATAAATTCTCATATTCATATGAAGCTTTATAAGTTTTTATCATGTGAAATTGAATAAGTTGTTAATAAAAGCGGTCATATTTTCTTTCATCCGATGTTTAAAAAAGCTATAAAAACATGTTTAAAATTGAAATTATAATAGCACTTAAGTAACCAATTTTTTTTTTGCCGTGTTCGACTCTATCCTTCCGATGGTTCGCTAAGTGGAGTTACTGATTAGCGCCTGGCAAGTTCAGTCGGGTGTTGGGTGTCATAATCGGCTTGGTTCGGCAACCAGTTCCTCGTCTTTGGCCAAGAGTCTTAGATCTGCCAATGAGTCTGCTAATTGGGCTGGGGGAATCAATCGATGGATGCTTAAACTCGCATTATTGCTGCTGATTAGGCGACGTTCGATCAGAATATCTCTTTTGGTTTTTATGACCCACGAACGGACTCGTTGCATACCCCGCAAAAAAAAAATAATAAAGCCAAAAAGGCTTCAGTTAATTTCATTTTAAGTGATTCAGTTTGCCAACTAAAAAATATCCAGTTTCGAATTAGTTTCCCCAATTTTGGCAACCATGCTGAATGAATTATGAAAACAACCTTTATATAAAGTTTCAGCTTACACTTTATGGATGAATTTATACGCTCGGCTGATTTTATGGTTATCGTTTGGTGAAATTAGCTTAACTTAATAAATTTACTGATTTTCATAATGAACGTTGAAGGGAAACACGTTGCAATCAAAACCATCAAAAGTGGAGTAAGATTTTGATTTTGTATTAAGCAAATGAAATGGGTATTTAGTGACTGCTGATTCATATATTCTCTGCCAAAAGTCTAGCATAATTAACGAACATTGAACTGGGAGGGAACATTCAAAACTCGTTTGTGCAAAATCGGATTTTTGTTTATTGATTTGTTTTGTCAAAAAAGATGAAAATAGATGGCCTGTCAATAGAGCTTATATCTTAATTGTATGAAAAATGACTAAATAAAAATGTATTGAATAAGCAATGGAGTTCCAAGGTGGCGCTATAAAAATGATCTTAATTGTTAATTATGATGCTTAAATATTTTAGTTCGTCAAAGTATTAATTATAATTATTATCAGTTAGAAAATTAGTACAAAATTATATACAAATAAAAAGGCAAATGTTTTATAAACTATTTTTGGAGAGCTTAAGGTTATCCTATATAATTGTAATCTATTTGCACCATTTGAGTGTCAAGGAAATGTAAATTTTATTACGAAAAATTTGCACTCCCGTGTTAATAAGTGAATGGCTTTAATATTGTTTAATAAAGTAATATATTGGCTTAAATCGTACATACGAAAATAACTTGATTATATTAAGGTCTAAGTATATATTTTATTTTATTTTGTAACTAAAAATTTCTGATATATACAAGAAAACCTTTTGAATTGTTTAATTAATTTGTAATTTTTAAAAACATACAATAATTTAAATGACAAAGCCTTTGGCTCTTTGTTATACAGTTACTTTCCATTTGTTATGATAAATCTATGAATATATTTATTTGTCTAGAAATCATGAAATAAAATTATAAATTTATAAAAACATGAATTTTTGATTGTATTTGTGATAAAGTTATAATTGCCCATAAAATTCCTTAATTAATGTTTCTATTTACAAGCTTAACCCAATAAAAAGACATTTTCTAGTCTATTTTCAACCATATTATCATATCTTCCATTTCTTTTGTCATTATTACAAATTTATTCAGTTAATTATTCACATTTGTGTTTTGATATGTTTACACCGCCAGCAAAATTGCCTACCAGTGACGTCAATCTATTGACTTTAAAGTATCTGGAATTATATTTTTAGAGCATGCAAATTTTCAGATCAGGCCAACTTTTTTTTTTGGCCAAGTCTAGTGTGAATCATATGGATTCTGTTCGGGGCATCCAAACTCGTTTCGAACACTAACTCTAGGCCTGAAAATATTCAGACAAGATGTCTTGCCTTGTCTGGGCTTCAGCTTTTGTTTTGCCCTTGCTTTTATTTAATTATGAAAATTTATGCTTTGAGCGGTGTAATTAAAAGACAAGAACACAATAAAATTAAAGCCTTAAATATATTTATGGCCTTTATGTAAAACAAATGTCAGAGTCTGTCCGAAAATCAGGTTGAGCCACAGAGATTTATAAGTATGGTTGAATCGAAAATGGATGTTTATCTATATTTATTTTCGTTCTTTCACTTTTGTTGCCAAACAATAGATCAAGTTTGAACAAGTTGTATATACATTTATTGATATTGATTATGCATTTGTGAGTCAAACTTGTTGGTGACTTAACAGAGGTGTGGACATCGGATGGGAGCTCAGCCCTCAATTATTTTCGCCTGCTCTTGGACATGCACTGAGAAAAATATAAAATAATAATCAAAAATTAATTAATTAATTAGTTTAATATTTTATATGATTATATATATTAATATATATTATTGGCCTAAAAGCATAACATGTATATTGAAAAACTATTGAAATTATGGGTCACCAGCAATCGGGTCACCAATTTCAAAATCGCATGTGTTTTTGATTCGACCATCTCATTAATTATTAATTCCAGTTGTTTTTTTGTTGGGTTAAATTTTTGGAAAGCCTTTATATTTTGAAATTGTTTTTGGGGGAAATTACAGTCCTGGAAGGTCTTCTTTTTTGTTTAAGGATTTCATGGTGCGAAATATATGTTTGATTTTGGCAAAAAAAAACATGTCCAATGTTTGAACTGCTTTTTTCGCGGTACAAGGTATATATATATAACTCACACCTTCGGTTTCCACTCTGATATAGTTGATTCTTCTCTGGTAGTCGCCCCGCCAGTGTTTTTCAAATATTTGTGCAGTTGGTTGTTTGGGGATGGCCAATGTTTGCCAGGGGTCTCGGCCCTCGGCAGCGGCCATAAAACAATTGCGGAACCAGCAGTGACAAACGCGGCAAATTGTTTGGCCCAACAGCAACAACAGACCCCCTTTCCCCCTCAAAAACGCCCTCCCTTTTTGGAGCCCCTTTGGGGGCACACATGCATCATGTTGGACACACTTGTTAGACATGTATTTTGACCACGTCTTGAGTTCGAGTCGCCGACGATCGTTATGAGAAAAACGACGCTTAAATAAGACAAGCACGGTGAGCTCTTAAATAACGTTTGCCAAATTGCATTTCTGTTTAACATTTTGCAAAGCCCCACAAAACAATATTTGCATGCTGCAGTCGCTGCTCTTGGGCAATTCCCTTCTGGAGATCTTGAGATTTGGGTGTGAGTCTGTGTCTGAGATTTCAATCCGGTCAGTAAGTCTTGTCTTGGCATTGTCGATTCAAGAGCGGAAAGCCCCATCAATCTTATAACCAGTAATTGCCTTTTTTTGGCACATATGGTGTTAATTAAGTAATTAGCTTATTTTATGGTGAATCTGTCAGTATTTCAGTGTGATATATGTTTTTTTTTTGGATTTCAGACAGCGAAAATTGTCCACATATGTTTTTGAGTTCACTTTATATTACTCTAACATTCACTTTTTTGTAACATTCAAAATTAATGTCTATCAAGCACTTAAGATAACTTCTATTTAATTATATTTTAAAAGATCTGGCAGTTTCTTAAACAATATATAAAGTGAATGTGATCTAACCCTTAAAGAACAAAAACACTTTTTTTTTAATGTTTTCTTAAAATGTAGTAAACAAACCGTAATTAAATAAATATATTTTTTTTTTATTGCGGCCTATCGAATAATACATAATTCAAGTGTCAACTGCGCATGTACATTAGTACAATGTACAAATTCTAGCATTAACTGCGGCACTGCAAATATCTGTTTAGATCTCAATGCTAGATCAGCATGAATGTAAAACGCATTGGCTTTGGTTTATTTGTTCCGTAAATTCCCAGAGACTTGCCGAAAGGCAAACAGTTTCACGGCTTAATTCGCTAGGTAAACAGAATGAGAAGCGCGTAGAACGGCGCTCGGTATTGGTTGACCGCCTTTTTTTTTTAACGACCGTGCATCTTCAAAGCCGTGGAAAATGCGCTGAAGCCCACAAAATCAAAACAGGAAAATCAGTCACAGTTGGGCTGATGTTTTTTTTTTTTTATTGGGATGCCACCTAATTGATTGGACAAATATCGCGGGGACTTTTCCCTCTACTGCGTTAATTCGTCAAAAACGACGACGACGATCGATCGATGCGAAGGTTTCTGGTACTTGTCTGATTACTCGGCAGAAAAAGAGGTTGGCTAAATTCGGATCGCAGACCCTGACCTTCTCTTCTGGCCGAAGTGCGAAACGTGCCAGAGTCCAAGACGAAATGGTATTAAATTTAATCATTGTTTTACGGCCATAATCCGCGAAAGTGAAGGGCAATCGAAGGAAGTCGTCCGCTGAGATCAGACATTTCGGAGTGGAGGTGGTAGCTTTACGACCGAAACGCGTTAATTAAAATCGTATTGAAAGCGAAATTAGTCCGCAATTGTTTGTTTGTATGGCTCGAACAAAGAAACTTCTTTCTTGCAGATCCATTTGATTTGCCTGCATAATAAAGCCATCATCAACGTGACATCTTCCATAAACTACGGCGTGGTTGGAAACTGGACCCCAAAACAAGTTTGAGCATCGTCATGGGGCTGGATACCACATTTGCGATCGCGTAATTCGCTCGCAATTACAAAATCAAGTTTAACCGACACTTGA